GGGTTTCACGTCTTGGCTTCCTCAGTGGTTGCCGGCTTTGGCTCTTCCGGCCTTGGGCGGTGGCGGAGTTGTTGGCGCTGCCGTCGCTACGCCGCCGTCGATGCAGCTTCGGCACTTTCGTTCCACCCATCCCTATACATCGTGATCGCATGTGACCCCGAAATGGCGTCCGCCGCAGAGCCGGGCGATGATCCCGGCGATAACTCCGATGATTGTGATGGCCGCCAGCACCACCACCAGTGTCTCTATTGAACGGCTAGTTGAGTGGCTGGGCTGCGCCGCCGCCACCACCACCACCACCACCGGAGGTGGCTCTACTAGTGGCGGCAGTTGAGCCATTTTATATGTTTCGTGCGTCTTAGAGAAACTTGTGAGAATCAAGAAAATGATTTAACAAATTACTATAGAGAGAGAGAGAGAGAGCGAGAGAGAGAGAGAGAGAGAGAGAGAGAGAGAGAGAGAGAGAGAGGGAGAGATGTCCAAATGAACTTTGAACAACAACAAATGAAAGAAAAAAACATGGAATTAAGTAACAAATGAATAGAAAGTAAATGTATTATTGTTATATATATATATATATATATATATATATATAAATGAAAGCAAAGAACAAAAGGAAACTTTGAAAAACAATGCCGTTGTGCCCACAATTCACTTTTGCTTCATTAGATGTTGGTTGTATTTATATGGTATTAACAATTTACCCCCCATCTTTAATTATGATCTTTACTTTAATTTATCCAACTTTGTATTTTATATTTGTTGCTCTTTTTGAGGTGCAAAAACATATTCAATGGGCTAGGGTCCATCAATAATCTTTCTAATCAAAAGTCGTAAAGTTGTCAGCGTAATAAAAACATTTTAATTATTTAATTATTTTTATTGAAAATATAAATATTAAATGATACGTTTCACTAATTCGACATAATATTATAGATCGAACATATGAAATATCATGATTTCGAATTAAACTGCCACCTATTTCAAATGTAATTTGACTGCATTTGATGATATGTATAGAGTGATTTTTTTTCGAAATTCATATATTTGATTTATGTTCGAACATAAAATGGTAGCTCCAATTTATACTTCCAATATTGTTCATGCTCGTGCATTCACTCTTGTCTTTTTTTTTATGTCACATGTATTTGTTTCTTCCAATATATATACAATAATCCATGCAATATTCTTATATTTAATTTTTTTTATATGCAGAAAAATTCCAAGTTTGTCAACACTGGCCAGTCAAATAGTCATCGTTTCTGTGGCTCTTGAAAGGTGAAAACTGTAGGGACTAACTAGTGCTGTCTTTTTCAATCAGTGGGTTATTTTGTCATTTTGCAGTAAATTTGGGGAGATGGGCCACTTTTTTTCCAAGTGAATGAAATTTCACAATTTAGTTTGTATGGTGACGTTACAGAAAAATGGGCCTTAGGGGGCTCTCTTCAATATAGTGTGTGGGCCTTAGTGCAAAAAATGACAATATTATTTTTTAATTATTTGAAATTGCATTGTAGGATACATATTATATTTAAATTATATTCATAAAAAAACTCCAATTGTACTTTTAAAATTTTGAATGAGCTTGTGATTAATGAATATAATTTTAAATTCCCGAAATGGATGGCGTAGCGGTCGGAGTAAGTGAACTTGTATCAATTGACCAAAATTCGAATCTCCTTGGCAACGGTCACAGGTCGAGCTTGTGACACAAGTCTTTTTCAATAAATTTTGAAATTTATATATCTTAAATGGGGAAATTACAGTTTTCACCCATCAAATTTGCACCAATTTCACATTTGGTCCACAGGTTCACAAAAAAAAACACATTTGGTCCCTCATGTTCCAATAATTTAACAGTTTTGGTTATTTCCTTCAATTTAACATTAGTCAATTAGTTAAGTAAGTGATGGGCACACGCTTGATTCCGTTAGTTCTGACGGGAAATTGACGAAAGGACTAAAAGTGTTGAATTTTTGCTACATAGGGACACAAATGTATTTTTTATGAACACGAGGGATCAAATGTGGAAAGTGCAAACTGTTGGGCCAAAAACCGTATTTTCCCTATCTTAAATCCGAATTCTCTTGCCAAATTAAGTACTTCAAAAAAAAAATACAAATGGAATTTGTTTAATGAAGTTTACTAGTAAAGGTACAACTGTCAGCCAACATTAACGCCAGGAATAAACAGTAAACACTATTACAACGGTCAAGAATATATACAATAATATAAACCCTTTTTCGGTAATTTTCTTCGCACCCATTGTTTAATCTTTACCAACTAAGGTCTTCGCAAATGGCGAAATCGTTCAAATTAAAATTATTTCATTCCCATGTTCTCAATCATTATTGTCAGTGCGGCTAATTATCTTTTTTTTCTTAATTTATTTTAAACATATTTGTCCAGCTATATATAGGGAAAAAAAATAAAAAAATTCAGAGGTTGTCCTAATTGTAGAAAGAGGAGAGAGAAAGAGAGAAATTCATAGGTTTGGGTGAATGCAAGAGAATCGGCAGATTGGTGGAAATCTTTGATGGGTCACCAGCCTTCTTGTCTGTTTTCCACAGGCACTGATCTGAAGGTAAATTTCAAGAAGAAAAAATAATTCCCTTTTATTCATATTTAGGTATAAAGGGAATTTATAAAAAAAAAAAAAAAAAAAAAAAGGGATGTTCTTTGACATTACATTCTTGTAGGTAATAGTTTTATCTGTTGTCTGTTGTCTGTTGTCTATCTATCAAGAATTGTTGTAGCCCATGATCATGATTCTTGATGCTTTTTTTTGAAAGAAATTGAATTTCTTTGGCAATTTCAAAGAAATCCCATTTCCTAATTGGTTAATTACATCAATTGCAATCAAGATTCTTGAAAATTGAGATGCCCATTTTCTTGATTTTCTGAATTTAATCTGTTTTTTTTTGTAGGCTGGTACCAGAATTCGGAAAGTGCCGGCTTGATCTGACCAGCTTTCCTTTCCCTTCTACCGATTTTCAATAATCTCGTAAATTTACGAGATCAAGAAGGGAAAGAGAGCTTATTGATTTTGAAGGTGGATTTGGGAGAAAGGAAAAAAAAATTAAAAAAATTAAAATTTGAATCCATAATAGTACATAAATATGAGTACCGTATCGGGTGTGATCTCAAGGCAAGTATTGCCGGCATGTGGCAGCCTTTGTTTCTTCTGCCCTGGATTGCGCGCTAGGTCTAGGCAGCCTGTCAAGAGGTACAAGAAATTGATATCCGAAATTTTCCCTCGATCCCAGGTCAGTTTCATTAATCGTATAGTCGAAAAATTATGAACACCATATGTATAACACTGCCGTAGCTAACTTATGTTCGTTTTTGTTTACAGGAAGAAGAACCGAATGATAGGAAGATTGGGAAATTATGTGAATATGCCGCGAAAAATCCTCTGCGTATTCCTAAGGTAATTTATTAATGTGTAAATATATATAAGTTTGCGTTTATTCTCTTTTGGTAAAAGCTAGATTACCGATGAATTGTTTTGTTTGTTTTCGAAATTTACAAGATGGCGAATTCCCTTGAACAAAGATGCTACAAGGAATTGAGAAATGAAAACTTCCGAGCGGTAAAGGTTGTTATGTGTATTTACAGGAAATTCTTGTTCTCTTGCAAGGAGCAAATGTACGTCCGTTTTTTTCATTTTAAATGTCTTTAGTGATATGCAATTTTTTTTTACGGATAAATGTTTCATTTTTAGCATCCATCTTTTTTGGGGTAATCTGTATCAAGCAATTAATTTAGCAGTGGCATTTTCGTCTCAGGCCCTTGTTTGCAAATAGTCTATTGAGTATTTTGTACATCTTGCTCGATCAGACAAGCCAAGATGAAATATTAGTCATCGGATGCCATTCTCTCTTTGATTTTGTAAATAATCAGGTTGGTCGTAAGTAATATAAGTTCTTCCGTTTTTATTTCCTTTTGTGGAAATTAAAAAGGCTGATTATCGACTCTCGTATAATTTTCAGAATGATGGAACTTACATGTTTAACCTCGAAGGGCTGATCCCGAAACTCTGCCAGCTGGCGCAAGAAGTGGGAGACGATGAGAGGGTACAACAATTAAGGGCAGCTGCCCTGCAAGCTCTATCTGCTATGGTTCGTTTTTTATTCAATCATTTATTTTATTTTCAAAAGATTCCGGTTTTGAAATTAAGAATTGGTTACTTCATCTCGTTTATCTGTTTTTTTGGTGTACAGGTTTGGTTCATGGGTGAAAACTCCCATATTTCAGTTGAATTTGACAATGTAAGTGCATTTCTCTAAGCTACACGAATTTTATCTCGTTATATCGTCCAAATTGACCATAATTAGATAATGACTCAAATCTTCGTTTCAAATTTTTCGACTTGTGTTATGCTGCTTTCGATCTTATTCATCCGATTTCTCAGATTGTTTCGGTAGTCTTGGAAAATTACAAAAGTCAAAGTAAGGAGTCAAACGACTCCAACGAAAACCGTTGGGTGCAAGAAGTTGCTAAAACCGAGGGACACATCTCTCCGGATCAAGATTTTGAAATGAACGTTCCTTCTTGGACAGTCATCATAAACGACCGAGGACAACTTAATGTTTCACCGTAAATTATCGTCCCATTTTTTTTTCATTCTTCTATTTTCCCGAACTTCATTAGTTTCTTAATTATCTGATTTTTTTTTTTATTTTTGTTTTATTATTTTTTTTTTTATCTTGATTAATTTACAACAGCGAAGATGCAAACAACCCGTGTTTCTGGTCTAGGGTGTGCCTTCACAACATGGCCAACCTTGGCAAAGAAGCTACAACCATGCGCCGTGTTTTGGAATCTTTATTCCGATACTTTGATACCGCATGTCTGTGGCGTGCAGAATACGGTGTTGCTTTTCCTGTTCTGAAAGACATGCAGATTTTAATGGACGAATCCGGTGAGTTTTCGATCGAAAAAAAACGGGGTTTTATAAAATACTATTTTTTTAATTTTAATTTTTTTTTTTCGTTTGTGCAGGGCAAAACACGCACTTTTTGCTGTCGATATTAGTGAAACATCTCGACCATAAAAATGTCCTAAAACAACCCGATATCCAGCTGGACATTGTTGAGGTTGTCACTGCACTCGTCCGACTCACAAAGATCGAATCTTCTGTAGCTATAGTCAGTGCTGTGAGTGGAATGATGAGACATTTACGTAAAAGCATACATTATTCGCTCGACGATGCGAATCTTGGACAGGAAGTTATCAAGTGGAATAAAAGGTTCCATCAAGTAGTCGATGAATGCCTCACCGAATTGTCGTCAAAGGTTGTTGTCACACTAAATCTTCATCCAAAAAAAAAAAGAAATGAGCTTAAATTTTGTTGTAATAACGTTTTTTTTTCCGTCTCGTTTGTTAAAATAGGTTGGAGATGCTGGTCAAATACTCGATGTGATGGCTTCAATGTTGGAGAATATCTCGAGCATTACTGTAATCGCAAGAACAACTATTTCTGCTGTTTATCGCACTGCTCAAATCATAGCTTCTTTGCCGATTTTGTCGTATAAGAAAAAGGTAATTCTTTTTTCCTAAATCAATTTCTGAAAAAATCTGAGATACTTATTAATTAACCCTTTTTCTTTTTCTTTTTAACTAGGCTTTCCCAGAGGCTTTGTTTCATCAGTTAATACAAGCAATGCTCCACCCGGATCACGAAACGAGAATCGGGGCCCACAGAATATTCTCCGTTGTGCTTGTGCCTACTTCGGTGGCCCCACAAGCAAATTCGTGTGTCACCGATTCGAACAAGAGTATGGGAATTCCTAGGACACTCTCGAGAACCGTTTCTGTGTTTTCTTCGTCGGCTGCATTGTTTGAGAAGTTGAAAAACCAAAGGGTTCCTAAGGAGAATCAAATTGAATTGAACATCGATCCGAGAAATAATCCAGCTAACGGAGTGTTTAACCGACTTAAGTCAACGTACAGTCGAGCATATAGCATCAGAGAATCACCGGCACCGGCACCGGCAACAGATGCAACTAAAGAAATGGTAGATCTCTTTGTTATTTTATTAATTATTATTTTTAATTTCTACGAGCATAGTTTTAAGTTATAATCTCGTTTCTAATTCCAGGAAAACGTGCCTCTGAGACTGAGCAGCCACCAAATAACACTACTGCTTTCGTCTCTTTGGGCACAATCAATGTCACCTGCAAACATGCCCGAAAATTACGAAGCTATTGCTCACACATACAGCTTGGTTTTATTGTTTTCTCGAGCAAAGGTAAATAAATAAATTATCGATTATATTTAAAAAAAAATTGTTTCGTTCGTCACATTTAGAACTCTAAAAATTGCTGTCTTATGTTGGCACAGAATTCGTACCGTGACGCTCTAATTCGAAGTTTCCAATTGGCTTTTTCGTTGAGGAATTTTTCTCTTGCACAAGGAGGTATGCTTGTTAATTATATTATCTAATTAATTTATTTAACTAATATATTTTTTCCATTATTTTTAGGGAATTTGCCGCCATCTCGTCGAAGATCGCTCTTTGTACTATCAACTTCTATGATTATCTTTTCATCGAAGGCTTATAATGTTCTTCCTCTAATCGAACATCTCAAGTCTGCAGTCTCTAATAAAGTGGTTAGTTCAAAACAGAAATATTGTTGGACAATAATTGGAAATAACGGTAACTTAATTCAAAAATATATTTATCGTATTTTCGTCACAGGTCGATCCCTTCTTGTATTTGGTAGATGATTCAAAGTTGCAACTTAGTGATAAGAATCAGAATATTCTTTATGGATCTAAAGAAGACGACAGTTCCGCTTTAAAGTTGCTTTCGGAAATAAAAATCAACCAGAACCAGACTAAGGAATTCCTTGTTTCTGTTATTATTAAAAATTTGGCCAACTTATTGGAGGTAAAAAAATTTAATCCCGTCTTCTTACTCGACACGACGGTCTTTTTATTTTTGAATAGTTTTATTTAAAAATGGTTACAGCCCGAGGAAGCTACGATAAGGGAGCAGTTGCTCAAGGAATTTGCGCCCGATGATTTGTGTTCGTTCGGAGGACAGATGTTCAATGATAGCCCAGAGGAAGCACATCACATGTCTCTCGAAAAGGTAACCAATTTTAAATTTTAAGTCTTACTTTTTTTTGGCGTTGGGATCTAATCCCGTTTTCTTGTTTTCAACATTTTTACAGGCGGTTTCGATTTGTGGAATAGACGATTTTTCGCACCAAGATTCGAATGAAAGTAGTTTCCCCCATAATTCGAGATTGACCATCGAATTTCCCAATCTCCTAAGCGTCGATCAACTTCTGCAATCCGTAAGTCTTCGTAATCAATTAGGGGTGGAAACCCGATGGATCGGGAAAAAAAGTCCAATTCTTTTGGAAGTGAAAAATTAAGGGAAAATGGAAACCGGAATTTTGGAAATTCGAATGAAAAAACTTGTTTCAAAATCGGAAATATTCATATTGGAATTGTCGGAATTCGGAAATCCCATTCCAATATTCACGCATAATAATCATACTACGTCGTAATTTGACGAACAAATTTTCTTTCTCGCGCTGATCTCGTTTTTATTTGTTTTAATGCGACACAGGTATTAGAGACAGCACACCACGTAGGAAGAATGTCGGTGAGCAACGCACCCGATGCATCGTATAAGGAAATGGCTAACCACTGCGAAACACTTCTGATGGGAAAACAGCAAAAAATGTCGTATTTGATAAACACGCATCCTAGACAAGGGAGCATGTTAACCATATCTCCCCAAAACTCGTACGAAACGGAGAAACAAAATCTTCCTTCACATGTTGTCGGTTTACAAAAGGTAAGTCCCTCGTCTGGTTGGCAAGATAAGATACAATGAACCACGGTTAATTAAATAATAATTCGATCTTATTTCGTGATCAGAATACTACTACACAAGGAGGAGTTGTTCCGAATAGACCGTCGAGTGGCGGGCCCACACCATCGCAATGTGGAGCCGAATACCAGCATCATCCTCTCTCATTCAGGCTGCCAGCATCCAGTCCGTACGATAACTTCTTGAAAGCTGCTGGATGTTGATCCAACGGTCGATAAAACTCAGGTTCACGTACGGCGGCCCCACCGCACCACCGTATAACGTTTCACCATATGGCCGGGGGCCCCCCCACATTGCCACATCAGCAAGAACGATCGATCGCCTTTGCTTGGCCGAGGTTTTGAGGATCATCCCAAATTACATTTCATTTATTTATTTATTTATTAATTTTATTTTTTTTGTATCTTGTTGTGTGTGTGATTAAAAAAAAAATTCAATATAGTGATGGCACCAGAGGGGGGACAGCTGGCAAATTTGAGCTTTTCTTTTTTCCTCTGAGTTGTGATTTTTTTTTAATGTATAAGATGTGAGGGCTCTTGTGAGTTGTGGTGTATACGTACTGCGGTACTTAGTTTTGTTTAGATTCTTCTCATGTAAAAAAACACAAAAAACAAAGATGACTTCATTTTTCTTTTATATTTCAACATTTTGTATTTTTTTTTAACATTAAATTGTGTTAAGGAAATGTGTATTTATTTTCGAGGGCGTCAGATGCTACACCTGAATTTGAACCGTATATTAGATTATATAACTACTTATTAAGCACACGTACACATGGGTATGTGTGTGATTATGTGCAGTTTTATGGTTCAAATCAACCTAGTGTAAATAAACATCTTATTTCCTATTTATCTTCCCCTTAGTTGCGGTTATTATGAGAGTAATAAAATGCACCACGTATATTAACGTTAGCGTGTAGATTGACTATGTATGTTTTTACTGCGATGTAACATAGATTTGACCATGAAAACTTAGTGCTACATAGGGGCATAAACACCGATTGATTTTTATCTTTGATCTGGTTAAATAATCACTCACTAAGCACGCATACATATAGGCGTGTGTGATTGTATGTTGAATATCGTTTATTAATCACCCGATGAAATTCACCGGAAGTAGCATCAAATAAACCAGGTGAAGAGGGTTATTGTTGCAACAAATGTTTAAGATTCACTCAATAATTCAATTGATTTTTTATTTTATTTTTTCAATTTTACCAACATTACTCATAAATTATATCAAACATTAATTCTTACAAATAAAATAATAAACAATGGAGAGAGAAATAAATAAAGTGAAAGATATTTTACTTATATTGTAAAAAAAAATTCCTAACATGTATCCAATCCCATTTTTTTTTTTTTAATTTTATTTATTTAATTAAATACGATATATTAAGTTAAATTAAAAAAAAAGGGAAAAATATGTGCTAGAGAGGTTATAACGGCGTGGTTGAGTTCCCCTAATTCCGTCCATATATATATATAGGGTCTGAGATCATCATTTTTTCTCCTCACCTGATCGATTCAATCCCGAGAAATCCATCGCGGAAGAGCTCTCTCTACATCGGTACATGCTGTGTTTGTTCATTTTTTGCATTTCTTCTCTTTGTTTATTTGTATTGATTCAGCTAGGGTTTCCACAATCGTTTGTTTTAACTGCGGCTTTGGGGTTTGTCTTACTGTTTTTATGGTTGATTTTCTGAGTTTATAGACCTTACGACAGCCGTTGATCCGGATTTAGGGATTTGACGGGTTTCCAAATGCTTAGTATTCTCGTTTGTTTATTGGTAATAATGGGATTTATTCCGCGAGCGGCTGATTATTCTGGATTTAAATGTTGAGAAGAGAACTTTTCCGATTCTGGTTTTCAATTTGTTGAAAATTTGAATTTTTATATGATTATATAAAACCCACATAAGAGTTCTGTGGTTTTGAATTTTGGATCTATTGGGTTGTTTATTCTTGAGATTTTCGAATATGCTTTGCTACGTTCTCTCGTTGGATTTATTTAATCGGTTCTGTTATTATCGGCCGAAGTGATCTGTTGCATATGGGACGAGAAGAGCTGCGAAAATACATGAAAATGTGATGCCTCTTTGCATATGTGATTGTGTCTAATGTGATTTGGTAAATGTTTGTTTCTGTATGACTTTTGGATTTGAAAACCTCGTCGAATATATTATTCTGTGGGTTTTTTGTTTGTGTTATTATTGGGTCTTCTCTTAATTAGTTTTCATGAAGAATCGTATATGTTTTTTGTGCTTGGTAGATTAGACACGCCTTGCTAAAATACCGTTTTCCGTTTCCCAATCTGTCCAGCAAGTAGTGATTTATGTCATCTTATCTTGTTATGTCTTGCTTCGTTTTCATTATTTCTTGAACCAAGCTTTCCCAGCAAGCCCGCAATTTTAAAACTCAGTCTCGAGGTCATGATCATGGGTAATTTGTTAAAACTTGATTTCAATTTAGCAGTTTTGGAAAAACTTGATTTCAATTTTGCAGTTTTGGAAGCGAAAAATGGCAGGAAAATACATCTGGTCTGCTCTAGTGGGAACCATCGGCGTTGCATATGTCTGCGACACTATCATTTCCGACCAGAAGATCTTTGGAGGTTAGTACTGCCTACCTTAAATACAATTTTTCCTGACTATGTCTTTTCTCGTATTTTAAAGAATTACATTTTGAATGTAGGTAGTACTCCTTCAACTGTCTCAAGAAAAGAATGGTTGCTAGAGACTGACAAGAAGTTCCAGGCATGGCCTCGTACTGCGGGTCCCCCAGTCGTCATGAACCCCATCAGCCGCCAGAATTTCATTGTCAAATCCGGTCTCGATCAATAAATCGCAACTTTTATCGATCTTTATTTTTTGTGTGTTACCATGATATAGGCATGTTGACTATATCATTGATAAAACAAGGGAACACAATGTGTGGAATGAAATCTTATGTTTATTAGATTTTGCTGTTTTGATTCTCTCCGCCCTTCTCAAATGTAGACATTCGGTGTTGGTGTTATGCTGCAGAACAGCTAGTAATAAGTGTTTTATGCTTTGCATACTTTTGAAATTATGTTTTTGATTCATTTATGATTTGATTCATGCCTTGTGAGGCAATTGGTTTTATATGAGATGATGTGTTTGGCCTTTGACTACAAAAAAATTGGGCATACTTGCAACATTGGTTGGCATGAAATATACTCGCAAAGTTTTCTGGTTCTGTGATTTACTTCGTAATGACCGAGAGTCGAGGACTGTGGTCGTTTTAGATACGTAACTTGGAATATGTGTAGTATACATATTTGTTGCAATTCCACTCATTTGGATGATGGAATCACTTTAAAACATCATTGTGAATTACCTTAGGAGTTCTAATATGAATGAAACAGAGAGCTTTTTAAAATTATACAACTCCCAAGAGAAGCATTTTCCATCCAGTTACAATTCCTCATGCAAATGTTGATTTTACCCGAAAAAATAAAAAAAAAGTAATGCTCGATTCTCCAGCACACTCGAACTGCCTCGAATCTTTCACCAAATACTTTTTTCTCCATCTATCTACAAAGATTACATCTTGAATATACCACAAGTTTCTTGATATACAGAGAAGGGAAGGATAGACAACATGTCCAATAAATTGCGAACAATCCCTATTGTCTATAGCTGAGAATGAACTCTAGCAAAATCCCTTTCGACTAAGTTTGAGTAATTTCTCGAAGCATCTCTACCACGGTTTTCATTTTGGGCCGTTTGGCCGGTGTGCTATCAGTGCACAGTAATGCTATCTTGAGTGCAGCAAGCATTTCTTTTCTCCAAGCAAAAGAAACAGTACTTAGCCTTGCATCAAGAATCTGCTCCGGTGTTTCTCCCCTCATCGGTGCAGTGTGCACCCATTTCACCAGATCAATCCCCTCTCCAAAAGCCTCATCTACCGGTAGTTGACTAGTCAAGATCTCCAACAAAACCACCCCATAGCTGTATACATTACCCGGTGCTGTAACTTGCATCGTGTATGCATATTCTGTTTAATAAAAAAAACAGAGATAAATGAAACAAAACTTATGAACTAATGAGGAATTTGTTCTTTTTTTTTTTAGGGAAATAAAATAATACCTGGAGGGATATAACCAAATGAGCCAGCAACAGCACTGATGCTAGCTGTACCTCTAGACGGATCAAGAAGCTTCGAAATCTCAACTTCTCCGACTAAAGGCTTAAAATCGGAATCCAAAACTACATTTCCTGATGAAATATCGAGGTGGATAATCGCCACACTATGGAGGAAAGCTAAACCTTCAGCCACTCCAACTGCAATCGCAAGTCTCGAAGGCCATTGATCTTGCTTCTTCGTAGAATCATCGTGAAGGAATCGAGACAAAGTCCCGTTGGGAAAATAATGATGTAATAACAACACAATGTCTTCGAACAAAACGAATCCTATTGGCCTCATCAAGTTCTCGTGACAGAGCTTACTCAGCTTTTCGACTTCTCGAATCATCTTGCTCCTGTGATTGAGTACAGTTTTATCCATTGATCTCAATTTTCGAACAGACAAAACCATACCCGAAGGCATATCTGCTTTGTATATAATACTAAATGTTCCGACACTTAGCTTATTCGATTCTTTCATGGTTGCTTTAGCCACAGCTTCGAAGTCTACAGCTTGGCTGAGGTTTTCGACAAACACGTTTCCCGCTAATATGACCGGGCTGTCACTGATGTCTTCTTTGTCACCAGCATCTTTTGCAGCTGCTTTTTCTTGCCTTTCCCTCATCATAAACAGCAAAACGACAACTGTCACAGACGCGAATACAGCCAATCCCGAACCGATGACAGCGAGTACAACCCTGTAAGAAACCTTGTGGTGGTAAGAATTCCCACCGGAATTACTAAATACACCGCAAGAAACGCTCAATGGCTCACCGCAGAGACCCTTGTTTCTAAGAAAGCTCGAGTTCGGGCTTTTCTGAAACGGGATAAAAGAGGGTATTGGCCCGTTGAAACGATTATTCGAGAAATCAACCTCGATCAAACTAAGCATCCCTTTTAGTGCAACTGGAATATTCCCGCTTAGCTGATTATTCGACACGTCTAAAGAGACAAGCTTGTCCAATTTCCCTAGCTCGTCGGGCAATAGTCCGTGGAGATTATTGGAGCTCAAATTCAGAGCAATCTGCAAGTTCTTGATATGACCAATTTCAGGAGGAATATTCCCGGTTAGATAGTTTCCATCGAGTTGCAATTCCAGCAGTTTCGTGCAGTTCCCAATCTCGTGCGGTATCTGCCCTCTTATTGCATTATGGCTCAACAGCAAGAACTGCAATCTTGAAGTATTGCATATACTCTGAGGAATAGTGCCGTTGAATCTATTATTACTTAAATCGAGCTTGCTAAGATTCTTTCCCTTGAGAATCGATGTGGGTATCTCTCCAAAAAGAATATTCCCTGAAACAATCAGCTCCTGCAGATTACTGAGCAAGCCAAACTCGAAAGGCACAGTTCCCGAAAACCCATTTGAAGCTAAGTTAAGGAGAGTGAGATTAGGACATTTCGAAAACTCCATCACAATCTCCCCCGAAAGATTGTTGTTGTTCGCTTCGAAGTAAGTGAGGCTACTAATATTACCAATTTCTTTAGGAATACCTCCAATCAAATTATTATTGCCAATCCTTATACTCGAAAGGGACTTGCATTTCCCGATCGATCGAGGAATATACCCCGTCAATCTATTCTGAGTCAGAACCAAACTTTCGAGTTTCTCCATAGCAAAAATGCTCTCGGGAATGGAACCCTCCAATTGATTTGAATGAAGGTTCAACAACTTAAGTTCGGTTAATGAACCTAGCTTATCGGGAATAAAACCGGTTAAATCGTTTTCGTAGGCAGTGAAAACTCTCAGATTGGTTAAATTCCCCACCCAAAGAGGGATTGAGCCATTCAATCTATTAGTAAATAGCTGCAAATCCTGCAAATTCTTGAACCCCTGATCAAGCTCATCGGGAATCACACCCATGAGAAAGTTATTGGAAAGATTCAATGCTCGGAGATTTTCGAGCTTTGAAAGCTCGACAGGAATCGAGCCACCGAAGTTGTTAAACGATAAATCAAGAAACTCAAGCTCGATTAAGCTTCCGAAAGCAGGAGGGATGATGCCATTGAAGTTGTTGAATGAAAGATCAAGAAACTTAAGTGATTTGAGCTGAGATATGAGAGTGATGTTGTTACCTTGTAGGGCATGGTTAGAAAGATCAAGACTCTCCACCATTGAATTGTTGGAGCTATTGCTGCTGCAAGAAACTCCAGGCCAAGTGCAATGATCTGAGGTGTTCACACTCCACGCAGATATTTTAAACTCTTCCCTAATTGCAATTAGTGTTTCTTGATCACTCAGTTCCTGAGTAATCACAAGTTGAGAACTCGAGAGCAGCCCAAAAAGGAAAATACTCAAGAAACTCAAAAATGGCATTTTTTTGGATTGCCTTCAATTTGGGTAAAAAAATAAAATAAGATTCTGGAAATTAGAAATGGGTAGCTAAAAAACCAGGAAAAATGACGAAAACTCTGAAAAGGCAGCGCCTTTTTTCAGCTAACTTGAGGAGTAAAAATGCACTTTTTCTCAAGAAATTCTTGATCAATAATACAAACACAAAGCGAGCATAGAATCAGCTCAGATAAAAAAGAAGAAATGCAGCGAGGACTGGGATGCAATTTTCAAGAAATCTTTTGATCAAACTCAGATATCAAAAGAAACGCCCACAAGAACTGAATAACAAGACTAGAAAAAAGCAGCAATCTTGGTATAAAAAAAAAGGAAGCAAAAGCTTAAAAAAAGGGAAGGAGTTGGAAAAAAATAAATGGAGGTGATGAAAGAAGAATTGTACAATGTTTTTAGGAAACGGGTTTCACGGGTCAGGTGTTTTTCGTCACTCAGAGTAGAGAGAGAAAGAGAGGCTAGAGAGAGAGAGAGAGAGTGAAAGCCGCGAGATGTTATGTACAGAGAAAGCTTCACGAGAAATGAGCAGTTCTCAGGATTGATTGATGAGACAATGACACAATATTGTAGGCAAGGTACTTACTGTATATTTCTGTATGTATATTTAATTATTATTAATAATATATTAATATATGAATTTATGAAATCTAGACTATAGCTTTTCGATAATTTAATTTCAACTTTTGTATTGTTGTGGTGTACAGTTTTTTTTTCTTACACTGTATTTGACTGTTAGAAGAATATTAAAAAATATATTTGAGCATTTAAAAAATATACTATGTTTTCTGATTTGTTTTTTGATAACAAAACAGTGAAATAATTATTGGATATACTATTTCTTGATTATTTGTAAGTAAAAAAAAAATTATATGTTATATATTTGGCGTTAAAATTTAGTTTTTGAACATTTCCGCAATCGATACAATTTTCGGTGATTTTGATAACCTAATCAAAAACTAGTGAAACGAGATTTAGATAAAATAAGTATTTACTAACTCAAAATAAACTTGTTATATACTGTACATTTGAGTGTTAAAAAGCATTTAAAAAAAGTTGAACATTTCTACGATTTTTGGCAAAAACTGTGAGCTATAGTATACATTTTTTTGTGATTTTGCTTGAATATTCATAGATTAGCGAATAATTTAAAATTTGACCAAAAAGTACGCTTTTAGCACATTTTTTATGAGGAAAAAAAACAATTGAAAGTTCCAAATAACAAATAAAATTAGACAATGATAATAAGCAATTAGGGACACCATTGGTCCATATGCCTTTGCTTTCTTTTGTTTTTCTTTCGTTTGTTCGTATATATATATATATATATATATATATATATATATATATATATATATATATATATATATATATTTGTGGAGGTTTGATTATTGTAAACATATTAATGAGGAGGAATCAGGAACTAATGAGTGATTAAGGCGTGATTTATGCAGGAATCATGGATTTGGCGGGATAAAAACACTCTCCATAATGATTATGATGATGCCCTTATATATATATATAACTTTTTTTATTACATATTCAAATGATCCAATCATTTCATCAGCCATTATATGCTGCTCTTTCCTCTTAAATTCACTTTAGCTTTGGTACTTTTTATAGAAAAAAATGCTTTTGTTATTTTTAATATAGCAACACATACCTTAAGTGATTTTTTTTTTTGAACTTAAATAAAGTCTTTTTGTAAAGGGAGGTCATTTCTCTTTTTTTCGACTTCAAACGTTATTTTGACCATTTTTAACTCAGAATTTGGCAAATATTAAAATAAATAATTTGTAGTTCTTTGAGTTAACTTTCTAATCCAACTTGAATCGCCAAGATTGAATATCGTGTAACAAAGATATGCATGAATCAATGAACATTGTTCAATTTTTTATGTTTCGAGTTATCTAAAATTCAAAATATAATTCATTCAAGCATAACTATGTCACCCGACATCCAATTTAGCTGATTCAAGTTGGATTATAAAGCTATCTCAAAGAATTACAGTTTATGCGTTTTAAATTTTGCCAAAATCAGACTAGAAAATGGTCAAAACCACAATCACAATCACCAAGATATTCGTAAAATTGAAACGAACATTTTTAATCCGAATTAAACAATACATCATGTAAGGGCAAAATGTCAAAATCCAAAAGGAGGGGACACTGCCTAAAACACCACATGTGGTCGGGAAATTACTTTTTCTTCTTTTTTAACTTTAAATTTTTTTTGTTTCCTATTTAACAAATAGTGAAACAAGATAAGAAAATTTAGTTCCAACTTTCAAGAATCAAGAATATTAACTTAGATTTTTGGGGGTGGTCCTAAGTTTGAAATGCAGAAACACAAATAGGGATGGTTCGATTCCGAATAAAAGACAATTTGTCATCCCTAACTAAAGCCATTTTTCCCACCAATAGCATGTGCATGGTGTGGGCATCCACCTTTGGGTTATTGTCAAAAAGAAAAATAAAATAAAATAAATAAATAAAGGTAGAAAAAAGATAAAAAGAAAAAGTGTAATTCGATGTGAAATATATATGTATATGTATATGTATATATAGTGATTGAGATAGGGGGCACCCCCTTTATTGGACATGCATCATGACCTTTGTATCATGCATTGTCTCTCTTGTCTACAGCATCTAGGGTCCCCCTCTTCTATGCTTATTCAGTACATATAGCCAACAATTATTTATATATATAGGATGGGGGTATTTGTACGAATTAATTTTAGGACATGCAATTTCAAGTATTTTGCTAAATAGAATGAAAATTGATGGGCAAGTCTTGCAACTTCCAACTTATATGGCCCAAGTCTAAGTCCACAATGTCTAAAAAGGAAAATAAATACTAAAAAAAAAGAAGGTTAAATAGCACTTAAACCCCCTATGGTTTGAGTTTTGTTCACACGACCCCCTTGTACTTTTGATATAAGCACATAACCCCTCTGTAGTTTGAACTTTATGCACATGACCATCTTGTACTTTTAATATAAGCACATACACCCTCTATCGTGTATTTCACACGACAAATAATCATTCTCATTATGAAGGTTAAAATACAAGGGGGTCATGTGATATATTATTGAAAGTACAAGGGAGTCATATACGCAAATTTCAAAACACAGGGAATAAGTGCTATTTACCAAAAAATAAACATTATTTTATGGGTAGGGCTTCATAAGTTGTTATGTGGCAGTCTGCGTAAACTTATTAGATTGGGGCTCAGTTAGCCCACAACAGTTCTAGTCCATTCTTTTGTTGAATTAAAGAAGCAGCCCAAATGATGAATAGTATAGCTCATAATATAGGGGAAAAAGAAAAAAACAAATATAATATATACACACACACAAACACAAAGTTTTTTGGAATCAATATTGCATGATAGCATGCTAATAATTCTGAATTTCTGATTAAAAGTTTTCAAAATATGTATACATTTTGGTTAATAAATAAATCATTTCTCTTTACTTCTAATGTGAGAAAATTATTTATATGTGATATAAAATAAACTAAGTTTGATGGGCATCTAGTACAGCAAAATTATCCAGGTACAATGAAAGACTGACTTAATTTAATTGATTTAATAATAGCAAACCTCGAATAACAGTTAACATTATTAACATACAAAATTAAAATAACTCATGAACAATTATTTTTTAAATAATTGCAGTCAGTTGGACGGTGGATTAATAACATTTGACTTTAATTTCGCCACACTTGTAAACAACATATTATTAATTATTTTGTCGAAAATTGAAAAGCATTAAAGCTACGTAGCACGGACACAAAAACGGCGATAACGGGAAACGACATGTTCCAAAAATGGGGATACGGGAGTTTGGAGAAAACATGGAAATATTAAAAGTATAGGGGTATATTCATAAATATGCTATATAAACCTACATAAGTTATTATTTATATATAAATTCATTTTATATATTTTCATACAAACATATTCAAAATAAATTTTAACATCAACTATCAATTTGCAATTGATGATTAGATCATGTAATAATCAGGGAAGCAACAAAAACATTTGAAAATTTGTTATTCAAACATGTTCCTAACTTTTTAGAAATTGCAAAACGTCCCATAGGATGTCCAACATGAAACGTGTCCGAAACACAGAAACGTTCAGTAGTTGAAGTTTCCGCGCTACATAACATTAAATACAGTATGCACTCAAATCCATGCAATACTTTGAAATATTTGTGTAATTTTCTGTGTCAAGAAACTTGTCTATGACTTGGCATAAAATGTTTTCCAGATTCTTAACAATATTAGAAGCTTCACTAAAATCAAGAATTCGAACTTTAAAATCAAACTCATGTGGAAATTTGTGCAGAAGTTAAAGCACTGATTTTCACCATAAAAAATAAAACTGGGACAGAGAAACACATCTCACGGCTAAATTTGTGGCCCTATAACATGGCCCCATGTTTCTTTAAGTATTGTTACCAACTTAAATAATCCTCCATCATTCTACATGATTTCTTTCATAAGCAGTTCTTCTATTATCTAACCTGATAAAACTCCATCTCCTATTTCTCGAAACTTTCTTCCTACGGTTCGATCAATGGCTTATTATCATCCCACCACTCTTTCGAACTTCCTATTACTAACATTCATCCTCTCCACTAGTCTAGCTTCTGCAGTAGTTCCTCCGATTCTTGATGGTAAGTTATCATTCCTATGTTGGAACAATGTCAATGCTATTCTATTAATGTTGGTATCTTAGTAAGATATGTTCTCTTAACGTGTTATATATATAGGACTACTCGAAAACGGAAACTTTGAAGAAGGGCCAAAGAAGTCACACCTGAACAAAACGGTGATCATCGGAAAGCACTCCCTCCCGAAATGGGAAATCTCCGGCATAGTCGAGTACATCTCCGGCGGGCCACAGCCAGGGGGGTTCTACTTCCCGGTCCCACGTGGGGTCCACGCGGTCAGGCTCGGGAACGAGGCTTCGGTTTCTCAGTATGTAAAGAACTTGAAACCAGGCTCAATCTACAGCCTCACGTTCGGCGCGACGAGGACCTGCGCGCAGGATGAGGCGATTAGGGTTTCAGTGCATGGGATGTCGAGCGATCTGCCGATCCAGACTTTGTACAGTAGCGATGGAGGGGATACTTACGCGTGGAGCTTTAGGGCGGCTTCGAGTGTTGTTAAGGTGACGTTTCATAATCCTGGGATGCAGGAGGATCCGACTTGTGGCCCTCTCTTGGATGCCATTGCAATCAAGGAAATGCTCCCCCTGAAATTAACCAAAGGTGAAGTCTCAAAACTGAAAAATACTCTTGTATATAGACTGGATCTTAAGATGCAATAATACTAAAAACTATAAAAATTTTAACCATAACAATGAGCAGTAATAGAGCATTTAGATCTATATAAACCTTGTTATATGAACATGTTGGTTGGTTTATGAGGATTCCGTTCAGTAGCGAAGCCAGCATAAAGCTAAGTTTAGCTGCGTTTTGGTAGAAGGATTTGAAATGAGTCCGCCCCTGACTCTATTGAAAGTTGTCACTTGTCAGGTTTTCAACAATATAACATTGTTTGTCCGCATGGTAACAATTTCAGGACAAAACACATATGTAAATCCGATGTTTTACACGCCTATATGTACTTACCTCCCATATACACGTTATAGTGTAACATTTTCCTTACCTGGTACAGAAAACAGAAACTCTGCTCAAGCTGTCTGAAAGATATATACAAGTTGCATATTTCACAGTCCAAAAAATTTATCCTCCAATATTTTCTGAAAAATCAAGATCATGCAATTTGAAATACCAAGATCACTAACTATACTATACATTTCAAAATGATCATAAATTAAATTCCAGGGAATTTGCTGAAGAATGGAGGGTTCGAAGCGGGCCCACACGTGTTCAAGAATTTCTCCACGGGAATCCTAATCCTCCCCAAGCGTCAAGATTTATACTCACCGGTCCCAGGATGGATAATCGAGTCACTCAAACCGGTCAAATACATCGATTCTAAGCATTTCAACGTGCCTTTAGGTCTTGCAGCTATCGAGTTTGTGGGAGGGAGAGAAACAGCCATTGCACAAATCATTAGTACAGAGATCAATAAATGGTACAATCTGACATTCACCATTGGAGATGCTAAGAACGGCTGCAGCGGGACAATGGCTGTAGAAGCTTTCGCGGGGAGAAACAGTGTGAAAGTTGAGTTTACGTCGCATGGGAAGGGATGGTTCAAGAATGGGAGTCTTAAGTTTCAAGCAGTTTCAGAGAGGACTAGGATTACGTTCTACAGTCCGTTTTATCATACGAGGTTGCATGATTTCAGTCATATTTGTGGCCCTGTTTTAGACAATGTTAAGGTTGTTCCAGTTGCTAATTAATTTATTAGTGAGGAAATGAAAGTGTGTTTGTTTTTCTTCATACGAAATTGTTACAGGAAATGAAGATATTAGGTGGGGTTTTGGAATTCTATTGCAGACGAAATAATTATATGGACGTTCTTTCTGATTTAATTTTTTCTTTTCTGGGGGGAGCAAATAAATGTCTATATTCGTATAACATAAGTCCCACCAGAAGTTTGTGGGTTTTTTCCTTGTGTATTTATGTCTTGGAATTATTGAAAGAACAATAAAAAAGAAAGCGAAGAAATAGTGAAGTCGAACTATATACGGATCAAGATATTAGCTATACAACTTGTGAATACTTAAGAAAATCATTAACCATCAAGCATCGATAATTCTACTTTTAGTACCTTCTCTTATATCAAGCCATGAATAATTGATTATCATCACTTAATCAATTCTTATACATAAGTATACCTTACGACCCTTATTCCTCTTTCCCTTCTTTACTTGACAGCTAGTTTATAGTTCGATATTTCATAAATGTTCGACTGCTTATTCAATGATAATCATCGATATTCTATTCACTCTTGAGTATGAGATTCGCAACTCACTCAAATATTACATATACTATACAATTGCATATTTCTTATCAAACAGAGCCTAAGTGTATCCTTGACCTATCTGTGAATTAAAATATATTTATTTAAATGTGAATAAAATTTAAAATCTGATATTCTAACACCATATTCAAAGTTCTAATATAATCGAACTCCAGAGTGTGATGTCAAATGACTCGAGTTCTAATCTTCTTGCCGACGTTTTTTAGACTAAGCTTATCACAAATGGCTTATGCCTAGTGTGTTTACATCTCTCCTTTTCTTTGTAAGTTATTGCACAAAAGCGAAAGTTTAGCTAATGCACCTATATGATTGTTATCGTTTATCCGTAAAATATTAATCATACTCAAACCCCTTCAAAATTAAAATCCAATACTTCCTGGCAGAAGAAAACAATAAAAAGTAGTAAAAATAAACACGCAAAGAAGAGAGGGGAAGAAGGAAAATGAGACAAATACCTTATCTCGGTGCAGGAGCCTCGTCGGCAAAGGTTGGATCCGCCGTCTACATCTCGCCACCAGCTGCCACCTCCACATCCGCGGCGCTCGCCTGCGTCGGCACAGTGTGACGTCAGCAGCAACTGCCCTTTGTGGCCGTACTCCAGTTCCAAGCCTTAGTCCTCGTCATCCTCGTCTGCACATTGATCTGCGCCGTAGCGTTCAACGCCGTCATCCGCTACATGTGCGCACGGCGGCGGCAGCCGCGGACGCCGGCTAATCGGAAGGCGGATCTAGGCTGCGCCACCGCGGAGCAGGAACCGGAGATTCCGTTTTTTATTTGCTCCGAGGGGATGGAGCTGGCCGAGTGCCCTATCTGCTTGTCGGAGTTTGCGATCGGCGAGAGAATTAGGGTTCTCGAAAAGTGTAGCCATGGGTTTCATTTGCAGTGTATCCCCGCCATTAACATCAATACTATTTGTATCGGGAAACAACGACCAGATTTTCTTCACTTCATTTTTTAGAAAATGTTTTGAGAAATTAATCATTATTAATATTTTTTTTTTATTTCTTCTGAGAATTCAATTTACGTGGTACTGTATCCTTTTAAAATTATTTTTATTCCATATTATCTGTCACTTTACATTTACAATACTGCATTAATTATGTAGTAATTATCAATTTTACATTTATTAACTATCTCTAACACTCTTTCACATTAATTATTGGCAAGGGCATTTTAGTATAAGAACATATATTTTTCTAAAAGTAAGCAACATTTATTGATATTCTTAATCCTTGTGCACAAGCTAAAAACGACAATTATAAAGGAACAGAGGAAGTAAAAATTATGCCCGCATATTTTAAACTAAGAATATGTATATATTTTTATATTGTGTCGTATTTTATTTTCGATATTATAAAATAAAATTTAATTTCATATTTTAATAAATTATTCTAATTGAAATACATATAAGATTTCAATTTCAAATTGATTTAGTTTCCTATTTCAAATATTCAAAAAGGAAGGAAAAACCAAACATCACAATTACAACATCAACTATATAATTTTGCCAATTTTATAACAAATGGGAATGAAAAAGTATGAGTTTATTGCTATCAGTACCCACGTGTTATATCAAATTGTTAAAAAACCACCCCGATTTTTGTTTTCTTTTTAATTCGCAACTGAATTGTAACTAGTTTTTCACTTCCGGAAAATCCAATCCATTCCATTTTCAGTCTTAAAAAACGAACAAATATAATGTAGTTCAAAATTCTATTACAATCCTAACCCGAAGGCGAAAACAAAAGAAACACCCGTATTCATTCTTAAACAACAGCCCCCGAACTTAGAATCCTGGAAACGACGACGAAAACACTACTAATATAATCAACATCACTCGTTTCTTTCGCAATAGGAATAGACTTATTAGGTGCATTAGTAGCAAAAGTCCCGATGCATGCAGAAGAATCCCTCGAAACCGTATTTGCAGCGGCATTCACGCCACCAAATTGGCCCGTTTTCAGCTTATCTCTTGCTCCGTTTATTTCGACCAGCGCAGATCTGTAGTAGTTGACGCAAAGAGTATATACCGTTTTCAGATTCGGATCCTTTGTTTGGGTACGATAAGATTCGATCAAAGCACCTGTTAGTGTGAATTTCGCGGAGGTGGTTTCGATAACTATTCGGCCGATTTCTTGCAGATTTGCGTTTGCATGGGGAGTTAGAAGCTTGTAGCAGGAATCCGGGTTTTTCGTCTGCCTGCAGATGTTTTCGATAGGGTAACTTGTGGCTGGTATTGCAAATAATAAATTTGTGGAGAATAATATTATGAGGAAAATAATTAGTTGAGAAAGTGTAGATGATGATGCCATTTTTTATTTTTTATTTATTTTTTGCTTTCGATTTTTGGTTGCTTTATATAATGAATGAATGGTGGGGTGATGAATAAAGAAGAAAAATAAATTAGATTTCGATTTGGATTTTTGGAAGGTTGAATTAATTAGATTGTTTTTACATGAATATAATAAATAAATATCGCGTAAACTATTAGAAAGTAAATCTCTCCGTTAGGATGTAAATCTTCATTAAGAATATTTATTTACCATTGTTAGTTTGTTTAGAATATTCTTTATTGTTTTATTTTTTTGTTCAATTCTTGGATTTTTTTTTATAATTTTTTTTTCTTGGATATTTTGTAAGCCATGGTTGATATAAAGAATTGTGGGATGGTGAATGCAGACGAACAATAAATTGGAGGTGTAAATAAATTTTTTAGCCATTTATTTTTAGTCTATGCATTTAAATAGAACCCGAAAGAAGCCTCGAAACAACAGCAAAGACATTACTAAGAAGATCAAGATCATTATTATCACTTGCAATAGGAATAGGCTGAGAGGGTACAATAGTAAATATCTGCTGGCATGAAGAAGCATCTCTCGAAACAGTACTCGCTGCACCATTCAAGTCATCATACTCGCCCGATTTTAGCTTATCTTTTCCTGCATTGAGGGCGCTCAATGCAGCACTGTAATAATTCGAACAAAGCATATAAACTATCTTTAGATTCGGATCTTCGGTTTTGGACAAAAGGGATTGAATCTTGGAGGCCGTTTTTGTGACGCTTAAAATCGCTGTATCGATCACTATTTGGTTAAGTTCTTGTAAACTTGCATTAGGATGAGGCCGTAAGAGTTTGAAGCAGAAAATTCGATTCTTGGTCTGTCTGCAAATGTTTTGTAAAGGGTAGCTTGTGCTTGGCAATGCAAATAACAGAGTGTATAAAAGGAGAATAATAAACGAGGGGGGAGAAATCGAAGATGAGGCCATTCTTGTTATTTTATGGATTCGTAGAAACTCAGTTGCTTTATAAGAGAAATGTTTGGTTTGGATGATTGAAAGCAGGGAAAAGGAAAAGGAAATTACACTTTAATGTGTCTTAAGAATTTTTTCTTTTAGTGACATGAGCTTTTATTGAAAATTGACTTAATTAGATTACATGACTCTTATCGAACTTAATCACTATCACCAAATTTAATCGAAAGAAAACGCCGAGTCTCGCACATAATTCTGCTACTACACCATATCAGAATTTCAAGTCCACCGTTACGAGTAAAGAAAAATGTCCCGACTACAAATTATTTACTTCGATATATAACACCATCACAAGAATGATATACATGTATAACTATATATGGAAATATTCGTATTTTATGCACTAACCTTTTGGTAATAATAATCCGACCCAAGTGGTTCCCTTCTCCTTATCCTGGGACTGAACATATAACTCGGTACGTGTAAGTTAAGATGCTCTCTGCAAAATCAAAACAAGGCAAATCAAATCATTACTTATATCAGCTCACAAGTACTTCATAATATGAATATAGACTTCAGAGCCATATTACAATTTGCAGGTCTGTGTAATGTTCGTATCATGCTCGGTGAATCAAATTTATGGTTTAGCATTATTACCATGTAAATATAAGGATCGGTACGCCCTCCAGCACCGAATCTCTTCACCTCATGCGACTTTAGCAACCTGTCCATTACCAGGTTTTTTGTCAGTGTACTGTAATAGTACTCGGTGTAATATCTGAAGCAAGATTTTCATGTCCACAAGTTCTAGTATAGGCTCTTCGATTCAAACTTAGCATATAGTATATATTATATAGCTAGCTCCCACGGAAAAAAAAAAAGAAGTTAATAAACATCTAAAGAATAAATACTGGCTCAATTTTTCTGTTAACGAAGTACCTTTCCTATTACAGAACATGCATGAATTTTAATATAGAATCTTGCAAACACCAGTACTTACATTCTCAAGGCTTTGCTAGTGGAAGGGCTGTCACCGAGCAAGTGACGAATCTTCACTTCGGAAGCGGTTCCATTAGATAGAATTTTGAGAATGGCTGTAGCTCTGTGGCCCATGTGACCAGGTATGGCTGCCTTACTCAGCTTATCTGCAGCACTGGTTTCACTGCTGTAGCTTTGGGCACTGGAGCTGCTGGACAAGCAAGACGAAGCCCCTGTGGTGGTTATTTCCGAAACACTGTCGGATGATGAAGATGATAGAGCGGAAGTAGTGGGTTCTGGCTTGCTGGTTTTCGGTTTCTTGCTACTCGAGATCCAGATACTTTTCGAGCGTTTCTTTCGCACTATCTGAGAGTTTGAAGAGTGATTTTGGAAAATAAATGAAGTCATTTCTTTGGAGATATATAGCATGAACGCGAGATATAAAACTGATACTAATTGCAAGTAAGATTGTTTAGTTGAATGTTGAGATTGCAATCAAATAGGGACAGGATGAATCGGTGTTCAAATTCAATGTGTAGTAAATAGTAAATGCAGGACAATACCTCTGCAATGTAATAAGTATTTTGTAAATGTAGATTACGGAATTTGTCAACATCAACACAGTAAAACTTTAGAAATAGGCCAGAGATTTTGTTATAGAAACATTGATTGTTCTACATACGAAGCAAGTTGAAACTTAAGCAGCAAAAACAAGTCAACTTAATCTGAAAATACTCAAATTGATCCCTCAGTCTATAGATTTCGTTCGAATAAAATATAACTCATAACTGAACGAAGTTTAAATGCAAAAATTTGGCATGATATGGACTTCAAATAACAGGCGATCTCAACAGCTCGAACGAGTCGAGTAAAATACACGGATATTGGAAAATTAGAATTTCAAAAATTTGAGAGACCAGTTCACCTGCGTTTAGATAATAACTTAGAAATACACCATGAGTTTAGACATAAATCTCAAACCACTGGTTCAACTGTTCTTCAATCATACTATAACAAACATGGATCCACAAATTCTCAGTAAATTCAAGTTGATTTAATCCACAGAGAACGAGAATAGCAGTTAAATCCGTCCATAGCTATACTATTAACTAAAGTAGAAAGAGGATCGGCCAATCACCTTAAATTCATGCTGACACACACACACACACACACACACACACAGAGTACCACTTGAATCTCAATTACCATAGAAGACAAACAACAGTCACGTAAAATTTCACAGCATATGGTACAAAACCAAAATACGAAGAAGATGGTTCAAATCACAAAACAATTAGCAGATTCGGATTTAGAGACTCGATCATAATTCAGATCTATCTCTGCAAAATCCAAATAAAAAGAGATCGACGGATCACCTTGAGCTTCAGCTCGTGAAATTCAGGAACAAACGCGACCACCGTCAGCTGCTTAGCGCACGGCGATTCATCATCAATAGTCACCTCCGCGATCGACGATCCGCCGCTCGATTTCGAAACGGAAAATCCAGAACTCTCGAGGCTTTCCGGACTGCAGCTATCATCGCTTCTCACTCTGGTGTACACAAAATGAAAAAGTAAATTTACGTAGTTCACGAAGAGAAATCAATTACAACTATACTGAAAAAACACAGATAAATTATATAGCTGCGTTAGTGGTGAAACTCTTACTTGGAAGGAGAAGATGATAGGAGGAGCAGGGCGGAGGCGACGGTGCGTTCGAGGTTTGAAGGAAATGATGCCTCCACAGTTTTTGAAAGCATTTTTTTTATTTGAAATTGGCGGGCTTGTTTCGGATTTGAAAAATTTCAGTCGAATTATGGTTCTTAATTCTTATGTATTAAGTATTAACGGCTTTGTTCATCGTAGTTAGTTCTTTTCGTGTGGGCCCGCCCGTGAGTAATATGAAGCCCCTTTACACTGATTTTGGGTATAATTCTATTTTTTACCCTTGAAATTTAGTCTTTTGTCATTTTGCACCCTCGAAAAAAAATATAGCACATTGAAGCCCTCAATTTTTGCATATTTTAATTTTATAAATTATATCTCGCCTCTGAAATTTCACAGGGTTAAAAACTTTGCGTTTATATCATTCGGTACCCTATGTTTACTAATTATTAAAATACTCTCCATGTTAATTTTATTAGCAAACGAAAACTCCATGATTCAATTTGTTTAGCAAACTTTCATACAACAAGTTCGTCGATGCTCCAAAACGAATATAAATAAAATCTTGCACTAGTTGGCCAATGTTTTACAGCATACGTATAAAATATGAGATGAAGCTACAATATCTAGCAATAAAATTTGCACAAACAATGCAGTTCTATGAACACATTCCAAAATCGTTGTGCATTTCAATCCTGTTCTAGACGTACAATGAGAAAGATACACGAAAGAAGTAAATCTTGAAAATACTAATACTAAGCAATTACTAATTAATACAGAGTTTCGACAGAAATTTTTTCAGTCAACTTCCATATCGGAGATTGCTTCATTCAGAATCTTTTGAAGTTCTTTCACTCGTTGTCTCGTTAATGTTACACAATCCTGCAGGCACAGCACACATTTCTGATAAGTAGCTGCTAGTTAATATCATCTATGTTCTATAGTTACATTTAATGATATCAAGAAGTAAACAAAAAATAAAAAATAAATAGGAGGTGAAATTAACCTGGATAGCCGATGAATTTGTGAGACCTGGTCCACCTGGTTTATTAAGAGAGACGAGCTGAAAAGACGAATCGAGTACCACGGTCAGAAATGTTTCCATAATGGATTCTTCCTCGGAAGTTGGATCTGCCAGAATATACTTCTTGTGTAGTACACATGTTAAAGAGAATGGTACACTTTTCAACTTGAGCTTTATCTTCTCTTTATTTACTGGCTCTTTTTCTTTCATCGCTCCACCATTGTTGTCCTCAGATATAATAACAATTCTACCGTCATCGTTCAGAGAGACAACCGGAATTTGCACTGTGAAATATTGAACTTATGAGCTGTAGCTAATAACATCAAAGAATATGGTGAACTAAATATTTCACTTTAGAAAAAAAAAATATTTCACTTTGAACTGCAGCATATGATAAACTTTTTCAGGTGTGAAAAAACTAAGTCTACAACTTTGGTGAATCAAGAATTGAGATATAAAGAACCACATTCAAAGGATCAAGCACCATTCAAAGAACCGCATGCAAATCTTTTGGCCATAATAGTTCAAAAATTCAAAATCAAGACACTAAAACGAATAAAACGAGAAAACCCATTATACAACTTACAGTGCGAGAAGGCTGCCACCGCCGAAAGCAATGCTGCGTCAAAAAGGGCACCATCAGCATCCAGACAGTATATGTCCTGCAAGAGTCATACATATATTCTATAATGATTGGTCATGATAGTTGATTCATGCACTAGAGGCATCGATTCTAACTTATGCCCGTATGGACGAGTGGGATTTTGAATTTATTACCAGATATGCCATCCATGCAGCTTTACCACCAACTAAGCATAATTCTTTAAGATCAATCATGCCCGAGCTGCATGAATTGTGTACACTGATAAGTGACAAATGACTAGAAAGCGTTGTGATGTGTAAAAATGAAGTCAATATGTCATTTTGTTTTACTAACGATACCGCAACTGCAGCTCATCAGGTATTTAGTGCAGAGCATAAAAGAAGCTAAAAATAATTATTTAAAAAAAAAATTCATTGATATCAACACAGTGTCGATGATCCCTTGCCTCAAAATGGTGTCGGATAATTGCTTCGATATAACTGGAGCTACCTCTGCTGGCCTGCCAGGTCGTACCAGTGGAGAACATATCGGAGGCATGTGGAATTCAATGGCTGGAACAAACGAGTATCAATGAGAACCATTAGAAGAGAAAAAAAAAACCGAAAAAAAAAATGGAAATGTAACAAAATAAATTTAACCTATGCATCCTTCATCAGGTGCCTCTGCAGTTGGAGTCATGACTTCCATTTTAATCGCAGCTAACATTGTCTGAGCACGATACAGAACTCCCAATTAGCGCATAAAGAGGACTCAAAATAATTTCCAACAATAAATACAAACACTTACAGTGGAACCTATCTTTGCCATCGCTGATCCATTAGCAGATGCAACAGCTCCTATATTTTCGAGAGGTTGATTTTGTTAGAAAAAGTGTACGGTGTTTACGTAATAGTACATGAACGAGAGGGCAATATGGTCAATAGGGTATGCAGATAAATGATCGACTAACCGAGCATAAGTGTGGTGTCTCTAGCTCTTCCAAGGGGGCGGCCGTCAGGCCTTAGCGATTCAAGAAGGTGACGCTCGTGAAAGCGCAGAGGAAAAAGACGCCGAAAAGCATCCACCTCCATTTCCGAAGACAAATCATTTGGTCCACTTGTAACAGCCATTTTCTTGCAGTTTTTATCTTGTCACACAAATTGCAATAATTCTGAGAAAACAGCAGCAGATGAAGATGAAAACAGTTCATCAATGGCTTACATTGCTTTGGAACCAAAAAAAAAAAAATCCTTGAGTTCAGCTTTATGAATCAGTTCAATCTCGTAAAATTTCAATCACTCACACCAAAGCAACAAATGGAAGAAAATTAAAGGCTCTCGCACACAGAAAATATAGAATTCCACAGTCGGAAAACAGAGAGCAAAAAATCTCAGTTCAGCTAGCATGGGAACTTTGATTAATCGGCATAATATTAATTCATAATAACCAAACCAAAGCAGACACAATGTATTGCAAAATCAAGGCGTTTGAAATAATATATACCTGTAAATTTCTGAAGCAGACTTTCACCTTTCACCACCACGAGGTTGAAGAGAACGCGACGGCGGCTTACGGCGGAGGGAATGGCGTCGTCGGAGGCGAAACCTATGTTGCTTCTATTTGGTGCGTGGAAAAATTCGGCCTGGTTTCTACATATTGGGCTGACAGAAATCGGCTGGATAATGGGCTTCAAGTTTGGGCCGGACTACCCAATTAAAAAATTTAAGGCCCGTTTTAAAATTCACAAAACCCTCTGAAATTTGTCTCTGTTCGTTCTCAGGAAACGAGTGAAGACTGAAGAGAGCGCGAAAAATTCGTCGGGCAATGGCAAATCCGGTTGTTACAGAGAAGAATATTCCGGCAACGGCGACTTCTTCACGAATGATTTGTTCGGAAAATTCTCGGTTCTTCGTTACTTCGAATTCCATGATTTCGCCTCCCGGTAGTGTTTTTGTTGCATTCTCCGGTGGCTCTTCATCTAGGTATGTTGCGTTGCAGTATACATTTCTGCTTTTGGTGTTTTCTTTCTGCTTGAATCTGAATACCTGGTGTTGTGGTCCCAATTTTAGATTCATCTGCAACTAAACCCTAGTGTCTGGAAATCAGATCAGCTTGCAGAGAAAGTATTACATATTAATGGCGATCCAGCTAAACCCTAGCAGTGATGAATTATGCATTTCACCAACTATAATACCAAATTCATCTACTAATTAGTATATTTACAAGCAGTATGGAGGTGAATTATCCTTCGGGGAGATGCCGCACGAAAACCAGAAGAATTTCGATGCGAGTAGAGAAACCGAATTGCCGCTATAAAGTATAATGATTCAGGGAAGACGTGTTTGTGCAAAACTCTTACGAGAAATTACGCTACTAAAACGAGTGCTTTCGCTCGTGTTTGTGCAAAAGGTTTGGCTCTAAATCACTTTCTTAACTTAACTAAACACCACATGAGAGAAACAGTTTAATTAATGTGCCTATATTTGTATCTGTTATGCAGATTGCTTTTGGAAATCGATATACCGAGATTCTTCAACGAACATACACATCACAGATCGTATCATGTGCTGAAACTGAAACGACATTCAAGGTTAGTTCTCCACACCCCCAAACAAACAGCCGATAATTATTTAATTACTTGTAAATATATGTTCTATTCGTGCGTTAAGTATATCGAAAACAGAGGAAAGCGTGGCATAAAAACAAACGGTGTATATTTACCGAGCTGTATTAATGAGAAATGCTGCTAGCTTTTTCCCAAGTTGCAATTCAAATTTGTTGGATTTGATTTTGGGGCTTTATTTTCACCCAAACCTGATTTTAATTAAATAATCACGTGCCGATTTTCTTCCCAATTTGCAAACGAATGATCCTTCTTGTTTGATAAATTATCATGTTCAATAACTTTGCTAGTTTTCTTTCTCTGATATGGTGGTGATTGATTATTGCAATTAAAAGTTCATTTACTGAAACTCGAGGGTGGGGGTGGGGCTCGGGGCGGGGTGATCCTCATTCATATCTTTGCTTTATCCCATGATAAGTATGCTCTTCATTAGCCTCGATTTTCTATTTAGTAGTTCAGTCTTTTTTATCAATCATCATTTCTCAATTAATATATATGCCAACTGTTAACTAGATTGCTTCATCAGCATCGGGGAGCCAAACCAAACATACTACAATTCTTGAAAATTAATAAATTTATATACGAAATATTAGGTTTTTAAGAATTACTATAAGTAGGTGAAGGACCAGAGACATAGGGCATCTCGTCGGGGACCTCAAGTTCTCTATCGTTCTATGTACGATGTTATCTAATTAAATCCCACTTGGTATAAATTTCATATTTATGCTTGTTTTTACGTTAATTAATTGTTGCTAACTGCGCTGTTAACTCTAGATCTCTCTTGTGCCTATATGTATAGGCTCTACAATGCATATATTAACTATGATTGTCTTTAATTGTTGTGAGAATCTGTTGGAGCTATGAACTGGCTACTTTTTGCAGCAGTACGTACTGTGATATACTAGCGAGCACCCGAAAAGGGAGACGAAAACATGGGTTGTTTGCAATGGGAACTTTTATTATGACTTAAAAGGAGAACTTTATTTAAAAGTCTTGCACTGGTAAAAGAGATTTGAGTGAGGGCCTTGTTTTGCTGTTATTGTTATGTGAATAGTGGGATAACATAGGCTTAAAGTAGACCGGAAATCGTACGGTTCAGATTTGAAATTTAGTATCGACGTTTAAAAACTTCGAAGTTAAAGACTTGTTCGGAATCGAAGATGTTCTGATGGGATGCGGTGAGATTCGGAATTCTATTTCTTTATTATCAACCTATAGCATAATTTGGTAGCTTCAGTTATTATCAAATTACAAATTCAAGAATTGGAATGAAAATTGCAAAATTCAAGAATTGGATTGGAAATTATAATCTCAAAATCGGGTTTCTTTTTTTTTCAGATTGCAATTGGAAAAAGAAAGAAAAGCTATAAATGTTACAGGTGGTATGGGCCACAATGTAGAAGCCGGCAGACCAAAAGGCACATGCTATCTGATCATTAACAGTCATTTTAGATAAAAAGCAAAAACTATTAAATAAATATTAATGTTTTTAATTATTGACCCAAATAAGATGATGGAAGGGAAGACAAGAAATAAGTGTAAATTTGATTAAATGATCTAGTATGAGCGATGCATGCAATCGACTTAAATTGCAGTTTTCGTATATATTATAACTTGCAAACCATACTAGAGATGTAAATCACACTAATGGCTGCTGACAATAGGACTCGAACTTGGATCAATTGACAAAAGCTAAGTTGCTTCATCTGCTACGGGACGCCTAACTTCATTTGAAGTTAAGAAAACAGTGACCAAACGGTCTTAAATTAGAAGCCAATTTACATTTTTATTAGAAAATGAAAATGACTTAAACCAACCCGGTGTCTTAAAATCTCCTTTATTTTTTATTTTTTATTTTTTATTTTCGTATCTACTTTTTTGTTCTCCAAAACAACTTATTTAATTTCATTTGTTCAAAAAAAAAAATATAAATAAGAAAAAGAAACCGTTTTTTAATTAAATTATTGAGAAAAATAATAATAAATGAGGAAAAAGGGCCAACATGGCTGGTGCCTGCTGCTGCCATCGACGGATCTTTATGCTCTCTCTCTCTCTCTCACTCGTCGCAGTCTATCAATCACATTTCTCTCTCTAAACCAATATCTTTCTCTCTCTACATCTACGCATTCTTTCCTTTAAGGAAAAAGAACGAACTTCCCTTTCTCGTCTCCTTCTTCTTCCTTTTTGGTATATACTATTCTGTAAATCTTATAAATATAATAAAAATTGTCTGCATAAAATCTCAAAAGCCCCAGCAAGTAAAAAAGTAAAAAAAAAAAAATTGTATATAATTTCCATTCCTAACAACACATGCAGCAATAATTCGTTCCTCTTTTTGCCATGTTAGAATTATAATAAACATTAATTTTTTTTTTCTCTTTGTGTCTACTTTTGCTGTAACTCACTCCCTCTATAAACCTCTCTCTCTCTCTATGCACACTTTCTCCTTCTGAAAAAGGGGTTCGCATCAAAATCTTCAAGTGTGGAAAGCGAGATCCCTTACAGGTTTTGTTCAGTGAAGAGTTTCAGCTCTTTTGTTGGGCTATTTTTTCTTGTTGGTATTTGATACATTTTCGTGTCTCTCTGTATTCATTGTGTTTTTGAATTATAATGTGATTGAACTCATTTGTTTTCTTTTGATCCGAGCTATTGTTAGATTGGGAGAAATATTTCGAAAATATGTAATATTCATATAACTATTATGATCTTTACTTGGTGTTTTTACTCGTATTGAATTCGTTATTTTTCGTCACGAATCTTATTTCGAACTTGCGATAATCTTATGATCCTTATAATCTTCAAAGAAAATGGATCAAATGGGTTAATGGCATATTGAACTATGTTGGAGGGTGGAAGTTTTGATGTTTCACTTGGAAATTTGTTTAGTTGGCTTCAAGGTTTTCGATATTCGAATATTTGAATTTGACAATCGACAGTGCGCTGAATATCTTTATCATTAGAGATATCAAGTAAATTGTTCTTCCTTTGGTGGATTCATTATTTGCTTCAACTGTATCAAGAGAACACGTATTTTCTCTTACATTGTCGATCATTTTTGTACTTGCTTATATCTTTTTCATTATTGTTTCTTTCTGCAGTTGATTCTACGGAACAGAAGGTAAAGATCTAGTTCCGGTATCAGAATCAAGAAGGGTATCGCATAATGTCTACATCCAGTTAAAACGCTGGAACCTGCTTTTCAAGGAACTGGTCAGAGAATGTATCCTTCTTACAGAACTATGATTAATTGTTAACCAAATTAGTATTTTCGTATTCTGTTTGTACTTGATTTTATTGTTGCTTTTGAAATTTTAGTTTCTTGTGAAAACTTAATCCTGTACAGAGGGACTGAGATTTGGAGAATTGAGAACTTCCAACCGGTTCCTTTGCCAAAATCTGATTATGGTAAATTCTACTCCGGGGATTCATATATCATCCTGCAGGTTCGTTTTGTCTTGATTTGTTGATTCAGTTTACTGTTGTTATCTTGATTTAGAAGATTGAGCAAAAATTCGGCACTTGTTTTTTTTCTGACTTGTACTTCAAATGCTTTCCTTGTGTAGACAAGTGCTGGAAAGGGAGGTGCCTATCTTTTTGACATACACTTCTGGCTCGGAAAGGATACTAGCCAGGTTTGTATTCTTCTTCTTCCTAAAAGTCATTTTTATTTTTTTATTTATTATTATTTTTTCTTGGTGTTGTAAAAATCCTTAGGATGAAGCGGGAACTGCAGCTATAAAAACTGTTGAACTCGATGCCATTCTTGGTGGCCGTGCTGTGCAGTACAGAGAATTACAAGGGCATGAGTCAGACAAATTCTTGTCGTATTTTAGACCATGTATTATACCATTGGAAGGTGGTGTTGCTTCTGGATTTAAGAAAACCGAAGAAGAAGAGTTCGAAACACGATTGTATATATGTAGAGGAAAACGAGTTGTGAGATTAAAGCAGGTAAGTGATGCATCCAAATATTATCGTTTTGTCATAAAACTAGTGTACTGTGTGGTCATACATAATGTAGGTTAACTGGCTCTACAATTCATGCAGGTCCCTTTCTCACGATCCTCATTAAATCACGATGATGTTTTTGTTCTCGACTCGAAAGACAAGATATATCAGTTCAATGGTGCAAACTCCAATATTCAAGAAAGGGCCAAAGCATTAGAAGTAATCCAGTTTTTAAAGGAAAAGTATCACGAAGGGAAGTGTGATGTGGCAATTGTTGGTAAGATTCTCTGTTTTCTTTCCCCTCTATTCGTAACTTCATCTATTTAATTGATTATTGATTTTGTTCATTTGTGTTGAAATGTTATTCCTCACTTGCAGATGATGGAAAATTACAAGCTGAGTCGGATTCTGGTGAATTCTGGATCCTATTTGGCGGATTCGCTCCTATCGGTAAAAGAGTTGCTACAGAAGATGATGTCATCCCGGAGAAGACTTCTCCCCAACTTTACAGGTACCTTATTCATATATTATTCTATTTTCTTTTGGATTTTGACTTCTTAGAGTGTATAATATGGTGATTTGTTTACTATCATTAATCTTATTTTCATGTGATTGTTCTGTTGCTCAATTAGTTACTGCATTAACTAATCTTAACGGCTTGTTTCTTGGCAGTATAATTGACGGTCAAGTTAAGACTGTAGATGGTGAACTTTCCAAGTCGGCACTGGAAAATAATAAATGTTTTTTATTGGATTGTGGTGCTGAGGTATTTGTTTGGGTTGGCCGGGTAACTCAAGTTGATGAGAGGAAAGCTGCTATTCAAGTTACAGAGGTCGAATATTAACTTCACATCTTTACACTCTAAATATTTGCTATACGAATTCTCACATTCAAATGATATTTCAGGATTTCTTGGCAAGCCAAAATAGACCAAAGTCAACACATATAACTCGGCTTATTCAAGGTTACGAGACTCATTCTTTCAAGTCCAGCTTTGATTCCTGGCCAGCTGGATCAGCACCTTCTGTTGCTGAAGAGGGACGGGGAAAAGTAGCCGGTACGTTTTTTTTTTTTTTTTTTAATTTAATTTAATTTAATTTAATTTAATTTAATTTAATGTTTTAATCGTGAGTTGTGCAAACATCATAGCTATGCTGAAGCAGCAAGGTGTAGGCTCAAAAGGAGCTAGTAAAAGTGTTCCGGTGAACGAGGAAGTCCCTCCATTGCTTGAAGGAGGCGGGAAAATCGAGGTCTAATTTCCGTTATGTATTTTGTAGTTTCTTAGGAATTGTTTTAATGGTATATACCACTGTCTTACCTCAGAATGGAGAGGCGGAAAAATCGAGGTCTAATTTCCGTTGTGTATTTAGTTTCTCAGGAATTGTTTTAATGGTATATACCACTGTCTTACCTCAGAATGCTTTGATCTCTAACATTTTCAGGTTTGGCTTATCAATGGCGGTGCTAAAACTTCAGTGCCCGATGAAGACATCGGTAAATTTTACAGTGGGAATTGCTACATAGTGCTCTACACATACAATCACAATGAAAGGAAGGAAGATTACTATTTGTGCTGTTGGATTGGTAAAGACAGCATTGAGGTTCGTGGATATATAATGAAACCAATCCGTGCTTAATAGAAAATCAGAAAAAAATTCTAAGTGTTCTCAATATCAATGCTGCAATTGTATAAACGTAGGACATTTTACTTGAGATAGAAAGGTATATGTTTTGATTCATTTGTACATGTTTTCTCCTCATATAGCCACTAATAAAATCGACTTTTCAAATCTTCAGGAGGATCAGAAAACGGCTGCTAGACTTTCAACTACTATGTATAACTCACTGAAGGGAAGACCAGTTCAGGTAGTAACATAACTCACTGTTTTACCACTTAAAAAAATATTAGAATTACGATGTTGAGATAAGAATTATGCTTCATTCTCAGGGCTGGATATTTCAAGGGAAAGAGTCACCTCAGTTTGTTGCAATCTTTCAGCCAATGGTTGTCCTTAAGGTGCCGTTTCTTTACTTGTAATGGCGATATTTTGTTATGCAGTAGTTTTAAACTAAGAAATCTGAGTCTGGGAAGCATTTTTTAGGGTGGAACGAGCTCAGGTTACAAAAACTATATTGCAGACAAAGGTTTGAACAATGAAACATACACCGCTGATGGTGTTGCACTCATTCGCATCTCTGGAACTTCTTCGCATAATGATAAAGCTGTTCAAGTTGAAGCTGTATGCTAATTTATTTATTTTTGGTTTTAAGTTGCTTGCAATACTGCAATCTAGAAAAAAATGTTCGTGTTTTAGTCAATTGAATCTGAGTTAAACCAAATCCTGTTATCTTCGTAGGTGGCAGCGTCACTTAATTCAAGTGAATGCTTTCTTCTTCAATCCGGAACTTCAGTTTTCAGTTGGCACGGTAGTCAAAGTACTGTTGAACAACAACAGTTAGCAGCCAAAGTTGCAGAATTTCTGAAGGTACACAGTTTTTTTGGATATATTGCATTGCATGTTTCGAATTACCTTTCCAGAACACCTTGTGTTGCTATTGTCAACTTAAATCTCCAAAACTTGGTGAACTCAGCCAGGATCAACCATCAAACACACTAAAGAAGGAACCGAGAGCTCGTCCTTTTGGTTTGCTCTTGGAGGGAAACAAAGTTACACCACTAAGAAAGTAACTCCGGAGATTGTCAGAGATCCACACTTATTTGCCTTCTCCTTCAACAAAGGTACAATTCTTCCGATGCAACTTTTATTTTACTCTTCTCTCCTTTTTAACCATGTTATTTTAATTTGTTCTAACTTATTCCTCGGTTGCTGCACATGCTTGTTCGTGAATTGCCAGGAAAATTCGAGGTAAGAACTAGAGTCGAAAATAGATAAGAAGGTCCATTTTAGCAATCCGTGCATTATAAGAAAAATCTTATATTCTCTCATATTGGCAGGTTGAAGAAATCTACAACTTTTCTCAAGACGACCTTTTAACGGAGGACACATTGATTCTTGACACACATGCCGAAGTGTTTGTTTGGGTTGGTCAATCAGTGGACTCTAAAGAGAAACAAAATGCTTTTGAAATTGGACAGGTAGTTGTCCACTTTGATTCCGATGTGCTAAAGATATTTTTCCGGTACCTGCTCTATTGAGTATTTGACCAGTCAAATCTAATCACAGAAATACATGGAGATGGCGGCTTTGTTAGATGGATTGTCCCCGAATATTCCATTGTACAGAGTTGCAGAAGGAAACGAGCCCTGCTTCTTCACCGCATTTTTTTCATGGGATCCTGCAAAAGCAATTGTATGTCATATTCATCTACTCGTGTTATTATGATCTCTCTCTCTCTCTCTCTCTCTCTCTCTCTCTATATATATATATATATATATATATATATATATATATATATATATATATATATATATGCCCATCTGAACAGCTGTTGTTTTATTTTGCCCAAACAGGCACAGGGAAACTCTTTCCAAAAGAAGGTGATGCAGCTCTTTGGCACTGGTCATGGTGTAGAGGTAATAATCTTGCATTTTTGTGCAATGCTACATACTCGAGAGCATACATCGTTTTTTACTTGAACTATATTAACTTACGTTACAAGCTATCTGCAAATCAGGAGAAGTCTAACGGGTCAGATAATGGGGGTCCCACCCAACGAGCTTCAGCTTTAGCTGCTCTGAACTCGGCATTTAGTTCATCTCCAACTCCAAGAACTGTTTCAACGTCTAGACCAAGCGGTACAGGTCAGGGCTCGCAACGAGCAGCTGCAGTGGCTGCTTTGTCGTCTGTTCTTACAGCCGAAAAGAAATCATCACCCGAAGTATCTCCTTCCCGCGCAAATAGAAGCCCGATTGCAGAAGCTAGCCCACCTGGTACTATCAATTAGTCTAGCTCCGATTTGTTCGGTGCCGAAATTTACTGCTTTTTCGAATTTGAATTTGGATGTCTATAGTAATACTCGGCCAATATAATTTTTCTTTTTTCGGTAGCTCCAAGGAAGAGTGAAGAAGTTGCCGAGATTGAAAACCCGAAAGAAGTTTTGGAAGTTAAGGAAATTGAGACAGTTGAGCCTGTTGTGGAGACAAACGGCGAGGATTCAGAGTCAAAGCAAGACATTGACCAGGATGAAAATATCTCGGAAAATAATCACAGTACATTTAGCTATGACCAGCTAAAGGCTAAATCTGACAATCCAGTCACCGGGATTGATTTTAAGCGAAGAGAGGTTTGTTACTATCAGCTGATTTCAATATCGGTTTTTTCAGACAGTAATTTCATACCGATACTAATTTCTAACGACTTGCAATGATATTATTGCACAGACTTATCTATCGGATGAAGAATTCGAGTCGGTTCTGGGAATGACAAAAGATGCTTTCTGCAAAATGCCGAAATGGAAGCAGGATATTCACAAAAAGAAAGTCGATCTCTTCTAGAAATGAACTCGTGGACAAGTACTTTTTTCTATTCCCTGCACTGTCGAATCTTTTTCTTCGATGGGTTTTTTTTTTTTTACGGTCTTGTCCTCGACTATTGCTAAAGAAGTGTTCTACAATTGATTTGTAATTTAATGAGGACATTGCTGCTTGATTACATTCTTTGATTTGGTTTGGTATGTATCTCTGTTTTGTGATCATTGAAGATCATATCCTATTTTTATTTCATCTCTTTGTAGATTTTTTTTATTTGAGTAAAAGGGTGTGTGTGTAATGTATTGCATTTGTATTTGTTAAGGAATTAATGTAGATAAAGTTGTTTGATATGAATTGTATGATGTAAGTTTTGATCTTTGGAAATCTTGTGCGTTTGAACAAGTGGTATGTATTGTTTACCGTTTTACACAATTGATTAATAAAAAAGACTTGCTATTTGTTTACTCACAAATAGGGGCGTGAACGAGCTGAGCTCATCTGTTTTGGCAGGCTCAAGATCGAGCTCGAGTTCGTCGAGTTTCTTTTTCTATTTTTCGTGTAAAAATTCATCACTTAGACATTTATTTACTATGTACATCCTTCTAATCACACAACTATTTATTAGGCATGTATTTACTTTAATTTCTTTTTTTTTGGGTCTTATGGGGTGGTAATTTTTAAGGCTGCGGCTATACGCAAGACTAATTCCACTTGTGCAAGACCAAATTAAAATTTTCAATGTATAAATACTATAATAAAAAAATCCAAATATGCAAGACCAAAAATTCAAAAACACAAAAAACCCTACCACAAGACCAACTATCATCTTCTCCATCTTCCAAAACTCACAAGACCTTTCTCCTTCCTCCTCCATTAACCCACAAAACCTAGAAATTCAAAATCATCAAAACTCAACAAATCTTACAAAGATGGCAAGTATGGAGTCAGAAGACATCAAAATAGAAGATTCTACAATGGATTAACCCAAGAATGTATGCATTTATGGGTTTTTTTTAGCTAGAATATCGATTTTCCAAAAAAAATCCCGCGCAAACGAATTCGACATGTACATGTCGAATTTTACAGGTAAAAATCGACATTTAGATGTCGATTTTGAGGTATAAAATTCGACATTTGAATTTGTGCTACAAATTCGACATGTCAATGTCGATTTTTACCTATGAAATTCGACGCTTAAGTGTCGATTTGTAGCATAGTTTTTCGACACCTTGGTGTCGATTTTTGTTTTTTTCTCATTATTTGTATTTGGTCTTATATGAGAAAAAAAAGTCAATTTAATGTATGGGCATACTTGTCATTCCATCTTAATAAAATAGAATCTTTTGAAATCTTTCTTTAATTTGGTCTTGCACAAGTGGAATGAGTATTGCATATAGCCGCAACCAATTTTTAATTGTGCCCATCTACAAGTTTGTGGTTTGGGCTATAACGTAGTAGATCATTTGGGCCATAACTAAGCCCTTAAATTATAAAATATAAAATATATTAATAATAAAAACTATTAATATATATTATAAAAAGAAAAAAAAAAAAAAAATATGTACACAAATTTCACGTGTTTTATTTTGGACCAGCTTTTGTGTATCAAAAGATATCGTACTGTTCGAAACCAATGGTCATCACTCCTGCCACTCCACACCCCAAGATAACAAACCATCTCGTTATCGGATCCCGATCGGAAACCCGAATCGGGTCCCGACTCCGACCCGGAACTCGCCGAGCAATGCTCTCCGCGATGGCCACGCCTTCTTCTCTCTCCGACGCTCCTTTTTCCGTTCGCGACAGTCTCATCTTCCTCAAAAACGGGTCGAACCGCCGGCAACCCGCCCGGTTCGCCGCACCCGGTGTTTCAAATGTGTACGCACTCCGCCGGTTGTCCGGTTCATCGTTACGCGTAGCCGCCGCCGCCGCCGCTGCGGCTTCCACAGACGAGCAGCCTAGTTCTTCAGGTCTTTTGTTCTGCTCCCTTTGGCTCTCACTGTGTATATATACTGTTTGTGTAAATTCCCCAATGAAATCAAATAGTGCTATTGCCTATAAGTAAAAGAAGTTTCGGAAAATGAACACAAAGTAAAACAACTGATGTTCACACGTAGTTTCTACGTTTCTTGTAAAGATAAAATGGTTTGAACTCTTTGCTTGGATTTGTCTATGTTTCATTTGCTCGTCAACGAAAGCGTTCGTGGTTTACCGTGAATTTGTTACTTCTAACGGTCACCGTCTAATTAATTGATTTATTTTTATGTTTTTCCAGCTCGCGAAATCGAGAATGTGGTAATTATAGGATCGGGGCCTGCAGGGTACACGGCAGCAATATATGCTGCTCGAGCGAACTTAAAGCCTGTAGTGTTCGAGGGATATCAAGTAGGTGGTGTTCCTGGAGGTCAATTGATGACCACTACTGAAGTGGAGAACTTCCCCGGTTTTCCGGATGGAATAACTGGTCCAGACTTAATGGATAGGTGTTTGAATTTTTTTCTAAATTTTCTTTTCCGATATTTTTCGTAAGTTGCTTATTATATAACTTAAGATAATAATTTGGACTGTATTTATTTTTATTCCACCAGAATGCGACGACAAGCTGAGCGTTGGGGAGCAGAGTTATTTCAAGAAGATGTAGAATTCGTCGATGTGAAAAACAGACCTTTTACCGTGCAAAGTAGTGACCGTAAGGTGATACTTTACTTTCTTACATAAACGAAACAATACTTACATAAGTGGATTTATAGTATTTTTATCTATTTTCAGGTAAAGTGCCACAGTATTATATATGCTACAGGAGCCACCGCAAAGAGGCTGAAACTGCCTCGAGAAGATGAATTCTGGAGCAGAGGAATAAGTGCTTGTGCGATATGTGACGGAGCATCACCTTTGTTTAAGCGTCAAATCCTAGCTGTCGTTGGAGGAGGTGACACGGCTACAGAGGAAGCACTGTACTTGACTAAATACGCTCGCCATGTTCATTTACTTGTCCGTAGGGACCAATTAAGGGCATCAAAAGCAATGCAAGACAGGTCTGTAAACAAACAAATGTCTTTTTTAAGGTTTCAACTTCACAAGAAAGAGAAACTTGTCTTGATTATCATCTTGCATGGCTGTCATTTTCGAGTCGAATAAATAAAATGGTTAACAAACGATGTTTTTTAAGGTTTCAACTCCTTGTAATGTCTGTTTAACAGGTTGATTATGGCGAATGTTTCAGAGTTTTCAACAACCCGAACGTTACAGTCCATTTCAATACCGAAGTGGTGGATGTTGTCAGCAACACAAAGGGGCAGATGTCGGGCATTTCGGTCAGAAACCTCGATACTAAACAGGAATCGGTTATTGAAGTAAAAGGCTTGTTTTACGGGATAGGACATTCTCCGAATAGTCAACTGTTGGAAGGACAAGTTGACCTCGATTCCTCGGGCTATGTTTTGGTCGAGGAGGGCTCTGCAAACACTTCGGTTGAGGGTGTATTTGCTGCTGGAGATGTTCAGGTAAATAATTTATTACAGACTGAACTCGTCTGAAAAGTTACACTATTCATGTTTTTTTTTTGCTTGTCTGAGAATTATATGTCGTTTAACAGGATCATGAATGGAGGCAAGCCATAACTGCAGCTGGATCAGGATGTGTAGCAGCGTTATCGGTTGAAAGATATCTTACGAGCAGAAATCTGTTGATTGAATTTCATCAGGCATGTAAATTTTTTACACTAATTGCTTTCGCGTTTCGTGCTTATTGTAAACTCGAATTCTGATGAAGAGTTCTTTTGTTTCTCTATATCTATCTGAATGTATCAGCCTGCTACTGAAGAGGTTAAGAAAGAGCTTACCGACAAAGATGTGCACGAAGGTTTTGATATCACTCTCACAAAGCACAGAGGGCAGGTACGTCATTTCACAAATCGAGAAATTATAATCTACTGTGCGCGTTGGAGCAAGTTACCCTCTATTTTTTCACCGACTGTTTTCTCTCTGATGCAGTACGCTCTAAGGAAGTTGTACCATGAAAGTCCGAGACTCATATGTATACTATATACGTCGCCCACGTGCGGTCCTTGTAGGACTTTGAAACCGATTCTTAGCAAGGTATCTTATATACGTCACACCCTTGAAATGTTCAGTTTTATGGTTTGTACGTTAATTGCAGAAAACAGTGGATTACGCCGTACATATGAAAGGTTTTTGTTTTTGCTCTATGATGCGTGTCTGAACGAAAATACATGTGGCAGGTAATAGACGAGTACGACCAGAATGTCCATTTTGTTGAGGTGGACATTGAGGAAGATCCCGAGATTGCCGAGGCTGCCGGAATCATGGGGACACCTTGCGTACAGTTTTTCAAAAATAAAGAAATGCTCAGGTTTCTTAAATACATATATTTTTTTCGATAATATGTATCGATTTGTTTATGGTCCGAATTAAAATAAAATTAACTTTTAAAGCTCGACAAAAATAATTCAAACAAAGTTGGACGAACATACATTCTGCTCAATTCGATTTATAGTTTTTTAGCTTCTTTTGACCTGATTTGTATTTAAATTTAAATTTGCAGGACAATGTCGGGAGTCAAAATGAAGAAAGAGTACAGAGAATTCATCGACTCAAACAAATGAGACGCACACAAAACCAAGCATGGAGTGATTTGTTTCGCCATGATATTATTTTGCAATTCAATTTTGATACCCTATGTATTATTCGACCACCGATATCAGATTGTACATTCATAATAAATCTTAAAAGTTTGCACGTTAGCAAGCGTTACATTACATACGACTTCGATCAACAATAAAGGGGGAAAAAGTAAATTAGACAAAATGCGGTTTACGTACGAGGATTAAGAAGAGATTCATTGGCGTCAATAGGGACATCATCAAGGATAAACGGACCTAGTTTGCCCGTTCTGAAAAGTGTAAGAAACTTCTTAGATATCATAGTACGAGCCTCGGAAGCTCTATGTGGTATCTTTAGTGCTTTTTGCAGTGCTTCAAATTGCTGTTCTATAAGGCTCCCCAACTCACTTTCATCTTCAATGTTTCCGTTGAATTCAGACAAAGTCCCACAAAGTGCCCCTTGAACATTACTAACTATATCCTGCAAATTAATTGGAAAAAAAATATAAAAAATCGGGAAAAATAAAATATTTTTTAGTAATTTTTGGAGAGTTATTACCTCAATGTAGTGAATATTAGATTTATTAATAGGAGGGCTATTCTTCTTCGGCAAGAGATCTTTAAGACTAAAGGTGGGTTTGTCTTCATTACCGAGATGATTATTATCTTCGCTTTCTCTACTCATAGAGCGCCTCCAATGTAGAGGAGTGCCTCTCGTGTTCAAAACTGCAAGTAAGTACTGTGCAATTCTTTCTTCGCCTACTACAGAATCCTTAACAGAACCTGCACAAAAATGTCTCGAACATCAACCTTAACATGGTAATAAATAAAATAATTGGTTCTAAACATGAATGCTAGATTTCTTTGGGTACCTTAAAGGTTAAAAACCAAGACAAAAAGAGAAGTAAAAAGGATAATATAGAATCGAAAAATATAAACAAACCTGCAGCAGCTAGCTTTAACCCGGTTTCTATGTCTGGAATACTTGGAACCAATACTCCCGGTGTATCCAAAACGTATATACTAGGTTGATGTGCAATCTATATCAGATGTTTTCTATCAATTAGCATGTTAACATTTTCAATAACAATTTTAAGACAAACCGAAATGAAACCACATATTATCTTGTAACTTAAAAGAGTTATTTATTAAACCAAAAAAATCATTTATCGTTTCTTTTCTTTTCTTTTTGGGGGGAAAATCATATTTATTTACCTTGAATCCAGCAATATCTTGAGTGACTCCAGGTAAGGGTCCCACCGTGGCTCGCTTATTCCTCCCCTGCACTAAGATAAAACTAAGACCATAATCGCAGTGCAGAGATTGAATACTAACAACTTCGCACAATAAGAGACAACCGAAAAACAATACTGAAAATTAGAATCTCACTTGGAAATCGAATTGATGCTAATTGATGGATGGAATTAATTAGAGCTGATTTGCCGACATTGGGAACACCAACCACCATGACTATGAGAGTGGGCTGCCTTGAGATAACCTCCTTCAATTTGTACTCCACAAGATCAAGAAGCTTTGAAACATCAATGAAAAGTCAGAAAAAATTTGGAAGAAAAAATTAAGATAATGAGCTTGAAAAGGAAAATAGAGTCAACAAAAATTTGTGGACATATTATTGAAATATTATACCAAATGAATTGTTCAATCTCGAAATATTAGATAGTCCAACCAACCTTTTTAACGGAACTTTTGCTGTGTGCATTTATTGAAAGACAATCTTGCTTGCATGAATCAAAATAGCGAATCCATCTCTGCACAACATGAATAAGCAGAGATCTCATTCTCAAATCAAAAGAACTAATCAAGCAAGTATGGTTTTAAAAGCACAGATCTTCGGACGTTAACAAGAACTAAGGAGGTTAATAAATCAAGTAATTTCCAGCAAGTGAAGAAAATTTAGAAACTTCATTTTCAAAACCAATCCAGCCGGTTAAACCCCAAACATTCCACAAGGCCAGTATGTTTTTTTTGTAAAACGACCCCCTTAGAATTTAAATGCTAACTCTGGCATACTAACATAGTTTGTTTACGAAATAACTCGCAAATTGAACTGCTAATAAGAGGAAATTAAATCTTGGACAATGAAATTATAAGTCATCAGTAAGTAAACAAACAGATAGATACACGTGTGGTAAAAAAAAATTACATGCATGATGTTGGGGTTCGCCAAATCTTTCTTATTGAGAGCAATGACCCGCCTTTTTCCTGCCAGCATACTCTGCAATTCTTGGTTTGCAGATGACAATGGTATCTACAAAATGTTGCCAAACAAGAATAAGAAAACAATAACAAAGAATTGGTCGAACTGTATCTACAATGTATGAGTTAATTTAGTCGAACACCCTATTCGTTTATTCAGATAAACAAATGCTTGAAAGAAGGAACATGTTAATCATGATTCAAGGTTAATTATCGCCATATCATTCGTGAAAGCTTTGTTAACATAACAAATAAAGCTTCAACACTCATTCAAGCTGTACATGAAATTGACTTCGAAATTCGACAACCTGAAAAGAATAAAAAATATGATTGAATCATTGTAACAATCACTCACGTTAGACTAAGCTCACTCACTGCAACATATAATCAAACACTTAGTAAGCTTGATGCAAAAATTGAAACCACAAAACAATGTAAACATCCGGCGATTCTTACGCGGGCGTCGCGAACTTCGACGACGAGGTCGGAGACTTTGAGGCGGTCGCGGATTGCCCGAGTGGCAGCCGCCATGTGGCCGGGGAACCAATTTATGTTGCCGCCGCCTTTGACGATCCCCATTTCACTAATTAACGATCCTTTCTTCACCATCCTTTTCATCGTCCCCATTTTCTCTTTACTCTCAAATCTGTGTGTGGACTGTGTGTAATTAGGATTGAAAAAGCTTAAACCCTTCTTGCAGGTAGAGCAATTTTGCTGCTGCGTTAAACCCTGTGTTCTAATTTCATCCCATTTTTTATTTCCCTTTTTCACTTTGTTATTATCTTCGAATATTAAATGGTAAATTACGTGAGGGACCAAATATGCTTTTTGTAAATACGAGGCACCAAATGTGAAATCATTACAACCTTGAGGGATGAAAACAGTAAATTTATCTCTTCTTACATATCCAGATGTAGAAATTCAATAGAATCTTCTAGATTCCGTAGATTGTACTCTCGTTTTATGCAAAAATTCAGTTTCTCATTCACCACAATCTGACGTTTACAAGCCAAAAAGACACATCTTATTTCAAAATGTGGAGTTCGAACGGGGTAGAACGGATACAACTGAAGAGTATCCCACATAATTTAGAAGATTACACTAAAATTGACACTGCAAAGGTAAATACGTAAAAAGATTCATAATAGATGGGTGGTTGTAATTGAAGCATTTTTTTTAAGTCGGCCTTACCTCAGGGTCAGGGGTAGCCACTGCAATTTACCCAAACTTAAATGCAAGGGAAAATATTTGTAAATTTTTAGAAAGATTTCAATTAGCCGTATTTAAATAACTGAAATGCTAATTGTAGCGGGACTTTTACTGAAATTGGCTTATTTGCAGCGGTAGTCTCATTTATCAATTTTCTAACTTTCGAAAAAAACCGAAACGCTTTCAACTAAAAAAAATCGAAAACTTAGAATTTGAAGCTCGTTCGACAAATTCAAAAACGAACAACGATTTTTTCAATTGCTGGTCCGAATAACTTTTAAATGGTAAAAAGAAAGAAAAAACAAAAAAAAAAAAAATTAAAAGTCTGTTTAATCGTGCTATACAGCACGAGAAGTTTCAAAAAAGGGGAAAAGATTGAGTTACCCGTGCTGTACAGCACGGGAACTTGGGTTTCAATTTTTTTTTTTTTTTTTTTTTTTTTGGTATTATTAATTTTCATATTCCTTTATATTATTAATTTTTATAATTTGGTAGGGTGATGATGGGGATTTTGACAAAAAAATTGACGATGAATGTAGAAACGAGTACAATAATCCGAATATGTGTTATCATGTTCCTTAAATAATTAGAAAATTCGATATTAAGAAAAAAATATTTAAAAAAAATAAAAAAATATTAAAACTTTAATCTCCCGTGTTGTAGAACACGGGAACTTGAATAATCTTCAAGTTCCCGTGTTCTGTAGAACGGGAACCTCATGTTTTTTGAGTTCTCCGTTCTGTAGAACACGGGAACATGAAGATTCTTCAAGTTCCCGTGCTCTACAACACGGGAGATTCATATCTAAATATTTTTAATTTTATTTCCGAAAATAAAAATTCAAAAAACAGTTTGAAGGTCCCGTTTTTTGGAGCACGAAAATTTGAATCTCCCGTTTTCTGGAGCACGGAAACTCGAAGAAAATTCAAGTTCCCGTTCTCTGCAGAACGTTTGATTCAAGCCGTTTGAATCTCCCGTTCTGCAGAGCACGGAAACTTGAATTTTCTTCGAGTTTCCGTGCTCCAGAAAACGGGAGATTCAATTTTTTTTACGAAATTCGAATTTCTAGAGAGTGTTTGGAATAGGAGAGAGAAATTGAAAAAAAAAAATTTAAATGAAAAAGGTACCGCTGCAAATAAGCCAATTTCAGTAAAAGTCCCGCTGCAAATAGCAACACCCTTTAAATAATTGCTTTTTATGTATATAAATTGGGCTTTCATATATGGGCTTTTAGTTGTGGGTTGAGCTATGCAAATCACTAATACGGGCTTTAACAAAGAAGGCCCGTTACTTTTATGCTCTAATAAACCATATAATAATTTTTCATTTCAAATAACTTATAAGATCCGGATTCAGGTGGTGTTTGCAAATGATTATTTAAAAGCAGAAGTTAGTGATTGTGATTTAAGTTAGTTTTAAGTGCTTATTTCTAAAAGTTGGGGGTGTCTGCAAATATTTTGGAAAATGAACTAAAATTGAAAAAGCAGGGTTAGGGGTGTTTTTAAAAAAATAGCTTAAAGCAGATTATTTTAAGAGAAGCAAAAGCAAAAGTTGATTTTGCAAACACCTAAAAACAGATTATGAGCAAAAAAACCGCATAATCACTTTCAAAAAGTATTTGCAAACACCACCTAAGTGATTTGGGATCAGAAAATCAGATCTTATCTTCAAGATTTTATTTTCGTAAATTCAATTATAAAACTTATAATTATTAACGTATCAATCCAAATGCTTCAATTCTATTTTAATAAGATTCCCCTTAAGTTCATAAATATCTTACCAGATATTAAACAGTTTTAAGATTATTTAAGGAACCTCATTTTAGCCTTTTAGGGATATAATATTTTCTTTTTTCTTTTTTTAACGAAGGAATCCGCAGTTAATCATTTAAGTGCTCTGGGTAAACTTACACATTCGCATAATAGCTTGCAAACCATATGAGAGACGTAAATACTAATTTTATTGAGTGTGAGCATCAAAGTTCATTTCTAATTTTATTGACGTTTCTTTATGCTACTTTTTAGATGCCCCAGAATCTTTATTCTTCTTAAATAACACATTCACTAATTTTCAGTATTACCACTATCCTTTTGATGGAAATTTTTATCTTCAAAAAGTAGCATAAAGAATTATCCACGTTTGCATGGATAGAATTGACATTTTTTGGAAAATATTACTTGGAATTAAAAAAATGCCTTGAAAAATCACACCGTAAGGGGGTCGATGTAAGACGGAAACAAAAGCAATAGTTTTGATAATTACGGATAAGTGAGGTGCTTTTTTTTAATTTAACCTAAGTTAAGGGAGTTTTTAAGAAACTTGATAAATCCACAGAAGAACTTTTATGATAAAGTAAAAATTTCATAATCTTTCTTAGCATCTTAAAGTACACCAGAATCATTAATCATATAAGTAAACCCAATTTTTTGCTTAATTATATTAATTTATTTTTAATATATTACCAGAAAATAATTAATTAGAAAAGGTTAATTAATACACCTGTGCAAGACAACAAGATCTACCGTACACATATGAAAAAATTAAACCTACTTACCGACGTTGATATTAAGCCACGTCTAGTAAATATTATGTGACTGAACAAATTTAAAAGTTTTATGTTTGCATTTGCCGAAATCATAGGTACTTTATTGTTTGCAATTCAATAATATAAAATCTAATTTTCAGTTTGCTGTTTGCATTTGGCGAAGCCATAGGTAATTTTTTGTTTGTAATTCAGTTATACAAATTATGGATTTTGTTTTTTCAGTTTGCTGTTTGCATTTGGCGAAATCATAGGTATTTTATTGTTTGCAATTCAATAATATAAAATCTAATTTTCAGTTTGCTATTTGCAGTTCGCGGAGTCATAGGCGTCGCAGTTCCCGGATCATAGGCGGTGGTGGAGATCCGGTGGCGTTTTTAGAGTATGAGTTTGTAAAATAAATTGTATATTTTTATTATGAATTAATTTATTTGTTTTAGTTAATATTTGGAAGAGATATGTTTGGAAATTTGTTTTGATAGAGAGATTTTTGGGGATTTAATTTGATTTAATTAAGGGTATTTTTGCCATAATAAATATTTTTAATTTATTAAAACATTAAATTTTGACTTGGATTTATATACATAAATTATCCGATAGAGGGATCTATAGCAAATTGCCCCTTAAATATATTTAATTAGGCCTTAAAAAATGCCTAACTTATTCAAGATCGGTTTGATTAATCATCCCAAACAATTTAATTGTTTATTATTTTATTTATTGTAATCTGAAAAAGTTCATTCACCAAATTCTTGACACGCGTTCATATTTTTAAATTATCCATTTAATTTAATTTAATTTCCAATAACATCTTACTAGGGTTTATAGATCCAAGATTGTTTTTCCATGTGCAAACTTAGTGCCTCCAATCAGCATCTCTTTGACTATTGTTTTCTAAGTCATTTATTTTAATTTTTTATTTTTTATTTTTATTTCTCTGGTCAATCTTGCTAACTTATCTTTGTCTAATCAAATCTTCCACCTTGTTTAATTATTTGCACTTTTTCTTTATTAAATTGTACTTTAAATAAATAAGTAACTACTTGGGTTTAAGAAATGATTTGGAAGAAATAATTAAAAAAAGCTGAAAATGTTAAATGTCGTTTCAATTTTTACTAATATCGTTTTGACTTCGAATCTGATTTTGACATATTTCTATTTTGATCTTGGCAAAATTCGAAACACGGAAATTGTAGTTTTCTTTGGGTTAGCTTTATAATAAATACAACTTAAATCAGCTCGATTGGATGTCGTGCGACAAAGTTATGTATAAATTAGTCACAGTTTGAATTTTAGATAACTCATTATATATATATATATATACACACACACACATCAAAGTTGTGGGGCAATGTTCATTGATTAATGCATATATTCCTCACCTAGTATCCAAATTCGATGATTCGAGTTGGATTATAAAGCTAATTCAAAACACTACAATTCTATATTTCTGGTTTTGCAAAATTTGAAGTAAAAATGATCAAAATCGCGTTCGAAGTCGAAATGGTATTATTAAAGCTCAAACGATATTTATCACATCGCTTATAAATTAATTATGATTACAAAAATAGTCCAAGTAGGAGTTTTTTTTTTCTTTTCTTTTTTTCTAATAATGAATTCAGAAGCTTGTTACAATTGGAAAAGTACGTATATGTTATAATTATCAAGTGATAAAAAGTAATTAATTAATGATATGAATTAAGGAAGTAATTATGCAGTAGAAATATTATAATTAGACAAAAGCTGACACGCCAAATTAATTAGTAGATCAAACTAGTTTTAATTTGCACCGTCTTTCTTTCTATTGAACGCGAATCCAAGACTTGTAATATCGTACGATATATTAACCATTTGTTAATTTCTTATTTAATCAAATTTAAAATTTAACATTAATTAATTACTATATTGCACTAATAAGTAAGCAAAGACGTAATGATATATATACGTACAGTCAATTAATTAATTAATTAATATGCAATATAATAAAGAATACAAATATCGTTTGCTCTCTAGAAAATTATTTTATACATAATAATTAACTAATTGTACATGTTATTAATATTAAATAAAAAAAAAGGGAGGGCTGACAAGGCATGAGAAAAGTGCAGAGAGATGATTAAAAAAGAAAAGAAAAAGGTTCAACCTAAACCAAATGATCTGTCATTAGGCAGAGAGATATTTTTGAAAATATCTCAACAGATAGATATCAAACAGAGGAACATATATATCTAAAAATATCTTGGGGTTTGGCAAATGAATCGTCTCTAGAGATATTTATTTATTTAATTTTTATTTAATTTTTAATTAATATATTATATATGAAACAATAATCAAGCTAAGTTACAGCAAACCCTATCTGTAATATTCTTCTTATTGTTGCATGCATGAGACCTACGACTAAGAACAGTCACCATGTTTCATGGAAAGGATATATAATACCTAGCTTTAATTTAATTTATTGTTTTCACAAATTAAAGATTACATTATATTGTTTTAATTTTAAATAATTAACTCTACTATTTTACAATAGATCCGATCATTATATACCAATGTTTTCATTTACAGAGTAGAAGAATATTCCAACAATAAGGAGTAATTAATATATTTTCTGTAATATGCATATATCCCCTATTCCCTCTCTCCACAATATATTTTCCTATTAATATAAATACAAAATTGAAATAAAAGATTTGATATATCTATATGGGCAGTAGAACCTCGATAAATTAATAGCCTTGCTTAAACAATATCTTTTCCGGTTTCGACAACTTGATAAAAATGTACTAAATTATAATTTTGATGGTTTAATATATCGCTAGATTAATAGAATTATATTAGTTTTGACTGTATAATTTAAAAAAAATATATATATACACTCTCCCATATTTGGGGGGGGGGGGGGGGGGGAGAACGTGAGTTAATTTGATCAAGATTAAACACGTATTAGTAGTGGACGATATATTATGATCATGGTGTATACATTAGACACAATAGTACAAGTGGTATATAGTTCATCATCAAAAAACAATTACTAGTGGTAGCATTAATATAATTGCACCATATCCTATATATGACATATATATATGTTTTATTTTTAACTAAGATTGGGAAATACGAGGAGAATTGAATATTAATTGAAGATATCACTAAACCCTACATGATTTGGCAGCCCTTAGTTGTAATGTGGATCCTATTATGAAAATATTTTTTTAAATAAGATTATTGCAAAAATACCTCAATTGGACTTTTTACTTTTGATCTACACACACCAATGTGAATGTATGTATGTTTGTGTGCTTATGAATAATAAAGATCTACTCAGTGTATTTCGTACTATGTAGCATTGTATAAACCGTATTGCATGGGGGCTACGATGCACATACATTAACCGGAGAAAAAAATATGAAATTATGGTTATATAGTTGATTTTACGTCTGCAATTACATTTCCTTTTTCGATATGGTAAATTCTCTCATCACAACCCATCGTTTTTCCCGTGTTTTTCACGTAAAATCTTTTTTATCGTCTATTTAATTTCACTTAAAATAAATATTAGATGAATCAAGACAATACAATATAATATATACATGCACATAATTTCAAAATAAAATAAAATTAAAGCAATATATAATGAAGTATTAATAATTAAAGCATGCAACATTTATTAATAATGAGATTATAATAAAATACAAAGTACAAGATCCCTAAGAACAATTACCCACAACTCATGCATAATTGAAAAAAATGAAACTCAAAACCCCACATAATTAATTAATTAATAAATATTTATGTTCTGATCAGAATCTAAGTAAGAAGATACTGAGTTCAGGCCCAGAATTCCCGTCCGGGTTCAACATGTAGAACGCTTCCGAGTCACGGCTCCCCACCACTCGCTCGAATCGGGCCCTCATGTACAGCAACTCACCCTCCGACGCGCCGCCGACGACTTTTTCGCCGCCGCCGTCGTCCACCACCGGAATCACCCCAGCCCCGACAGACACGCTCTGCACGGTCCTCAGCACGTGCCAATCAGACTCCGTGCACGCTCTCACCTGCGCGTTCCCGCACTGCCTCCCGTTGCAGTACATCGTCCACCCAGGCTCCCCGTACAGCCTCGCCGCCTTCCCTCCGGGTCCGCCACCGCCGCCGCGTCGCGGCGTCTGCGGCTTCTCGCACTCCAAGGCGATCCTCACCAGCGCGGAGGACATCTCCTTCACGAGCGCCGCCGTGGAGACGGCGAGCTCAATCACCAGAACGGGCACCGACTTCGGGTCCACCTGCACGGCGAAGCTGACGTAGCCGTGGCGGTTGCCGAATAGGGTTCCGGTGACTTTCCGGCCGAGGGTGGGGGCCACAGAAACCAGTTGGTTGTTGGGGTTTCCGAGCCACGTGCAGGTGGGGAAGATAATTGAAGGGAAGGTGAAGAGTGAGAGGAGCGAGCGGATGAAGTTGGAGATGCCGTTGCGTGTGGATCTGTTGAGGCGGTGGAAGGCGGCGGAGGAGGTGGAGCCACGGCGGACGATGGATCGGGTGTTGAAACCCTCCGGGGGAAAGGTGGCCGGGATGATTATCATATTGGTGGTGCTTTTGCAGCTGTTTGTTCTTGAAAGACCAATCGGAACTATTTGTTCGTATTTTCCCATGGTCGGCATTTTTATTTATTTATTAATATTAATTAATAAAATTGTATATATGGAGATATATATAGATATATAGATATAGTAGTGTGTGTGGCAAGAAACTTGATAGTGTGTGAGAGAGAATTGAGAGAGAGAGAGAGAGAGAGAGTGAAGACAAAGAAAAATTTGTGGTGGTGCCGTGGTGGTTCTCATCATTTTAGACTATTATTTATACACAAACAACTCCTTCCTTAAATTAATTGTTTATTGATTATTAGACAAGGCCAAAATTAGCCATTGTGAAAGCTACACGTGCATAACTCCATATCTCATCACTCACTATAGTCTATATCATTTATATATGGGGTAAATTATGAATACCCCTAAACTTAGGCTAAATAATAAAAAACACCCCCATCTATTCGTAATTACCAAATAAACCTTAAGGTTTGTTTTTGTCTTACACCAACCCTTTACAGTGTGCCTTTTCACGGATTTTTTTTATTTTTTTTTATTTCAGGGAATTGAATTTACACAATTTCAGATATTTTCATTTTATTATCACCTATTTAACAGACTACAATTTTTTTGTTAAAAAAAACTCGATCAGCTGTTAATCAAAGGGGGATTTTGGTTATTATGAATAGATGAGGGTGTTTTTCATCATTTAGCCTAAGTTTGGGGGATTTTCGTAATTTACCCAATATTCATACCTTTAGGCTGCCTTTGTATGACCTATATGCATATTATGTATCCTCGCGTAAATTTAATGATGAGCTCTTTTGGTGTCAACTAAATAACTGGACTTTGTTTGATCTTTGATATCCCTAGTAACTTGTCGTGTCAATCCTATATGTCGTCATAACTAATCTTGCCTTTTGGAGAACTTTTTTGTTCGACGTCCTGAATCCCGATTCCGATAAAATAATTGGATTTTTATTAGATTATTTAATTTTTTTTCTCCATTAAACGAGGCCTTTATTTATTTATTACATGATCAAGAAGTGGGAGTTTAGTGCCTCTCAAATCAAAACAACCTTAAGAGTGCACTCTATAAATTGCAAAGTGGCAAACCAGAAATATATATTTTGTTGTCATTGTCTGTCATTTATAAAAAAGAAAAAAAAACATGATAGTAGAGTTGACCATTTCTTTTATTTGATGATGATTGCATATGTTGACCATGATTAGGTTCTTTGGTCCCTGGTAGTTAAAGGTTCGAATGAGACTGAAAAATCCACATTAATATTAATTTGGAGATAATATATTTTAATGTTTTATATATGTGTGGAGAAATGATATATGTACTTTTTAAGGATCAATTTTAGTTGTTTGATAAACCATATCATGCAAATTAAAAGAGTCTATGTAATGCATCGGAGGTGTAAACTACACTGAATAATCGTTCATGTATGACAAACTCGATCCGTAAAATATTGCACGAATTTTTTTAAGGCCAAAAGTAGCCCAAATATAGTGATGCATGCAAGGATGACTAGCAAGATAATCAATAAAAGTCAATGAAAAATTAACACTTATGTGTTATATTATAAATAAATAAATTAGGATTAGGGTCCTTAATCAACTATTTTTGTCTAATTAAAAATTTGGGCCGGTTCCAAACATCTTCTTTATTTGGGCTACATGTAATCCTATTAGTGACCAACCCACTTTGTGATTCATTGCATACCCCTGCCACGTGGACTATTTGTCACCACTAATTATTTGCCTCTTTTCTTTCTTCTTTTTTTTTTTCTTTTTTTTTCTCTTTGTTATTGATAAGTATTGCTATTTGACGAGGCATCAAGAATATTTAAATTGTTTGTTCCCAAAAAATAAAAAAGAATGTTAAATTGAAATCAATGAAAATGATTTATGTAATTCTCTCAACTGGGCCGGTAAAATATGCTATACTAAAAAAAAATCTTGTACTAAGAAAGGCCCAATACTAAACCCAACATCAAAGGCCCATAATCCGAAATTCCCGCCAATACTATTAATTTCTCATTAAGAGAATTTATTATCAATTGATAATCCAAAGTTCCCGCCAAAATATTATTAATTTCTCAGCTGCTATGTGATTTGGGGTTGTGAGCAAAGACTGAGTACGAACGCAACGAAGGCAATGAATGGCATTGTTCGTAATACCTATTCGGTGTTTTTAAAGTTTAAAATTTAACGGTTTCAAGTTCACGAATAATGTGGTTGGATTCGATTGAGACAAATTTAAGAGTAGACGGGAGTAACAATGATACAATTAAAAATATGAGGGTGGAAAATGAGATCAAGCTACTTTAGAGGGGTAAATTGTAATAATACGTGCTAGGGCACACATACAATTGCCGGCCCGGCCCATTTAAATTATTTTATTTAGCCCATAACCTTAAAGAGAATGGATGGCCCATGATATTAAAAAAAAAGATGAAAATTGGAACAATAAATATTTTTACCCTATATATTATATAGAAAAAAATAATAAATAATTTTTATTTTTGCATATTTTAATAATAAAATATTAATGTTTATTCGAAAAAAAGAAGGAAAAATAGAATTTATTTGGTGTGGGTAACTAGTTGTAAAGAAGCATTAAAAGAGGAAAATTGACAGAAGCCATAAAAAAAGCACGTGCGTAATTAATTCATCTCTTTGCGGAATTGCTAGGTGTAAAGTGGGCCCCACGCCAAACAAGACCTTATCACCGACCCCCAAATACATCGCCCCCTTTTCCTCTATATATACCACCCCTTCGTTCCCCCAATACCTATTTCTGAAACTTCAATTCCAAATAGAGATATAGAGAGAGAGAGAGAGAGATTTCTACAGAGAGAGAGAGAGAGAGAGAGAGAAACATTCGAAAATCTAATTGAATCATAAGGAAAACCAGAGAGATTATTACCCTAATTAATCCGCAATTTGAGCAACAACAATTTTACTATCTGAAATTCGAATCGAATAATCATCAACTGCATATATAATCATGTCGGATTCGTACTGTTCGGACTGCAAGAAGAACACGGAGGTGGTGTTCGATCACTCGGCGGGGGACACCGTCTGCTCGGAGTGCGGTCTCGTGCTCGAAGCGCGCGCAATCGACGAGACATCCGAGTGGCGGACGTTCGCCGATGATTCCGGCGACCATGACCCGAACCGTGTCGGAGGACCCGTTAACCCTCTATTGGCCGACGCGGCTCTTTCAACGGTCATATCACGGGGCCCCAACGGGTCGAGCGGAGATCCGACCCTCACCCGGTTGCAGAACAGGGGTGGAGATCCCGACCGTGCTATTGTCCTGGCTTTTAAGACAATTGCTAACATGGCTGATAGGTCTGTGGCTTTTTGCGTGTTGCTCGTCTTTTTCGACTTTTTCGGTATTTTGGTTTTGTGATTTTTCGAGTGTTGGGGATTTTTTGGTGGTTGGTTGTTTGATCATTAAAAGTGCTTTGTGAATGGATTGATGAAAATTTGATCATAAAAGTAAAGACTTTATTTACATATGGTTGGTTTATTAGGGTTTGTTTGAATTCGAGGATGCGATTTTGAGAAATATGTATTGAATAAAGACTAGTGATTTAAACAAAAGGCATTGATTTCGTTGTAGTTTGGAAGTTAAAAATATGGAATTATTGATTCAGAATGAGTAATTTATGTTGGAAACATTCTCGTTGTTGTGGCGAAGAGAACGTTTTATTGTATTGATCGTTAACTGCGAATTGAATATTTGATTCTTACGTAGAACAAACGAAAAAAAGATATGAAAGGGGAGCCAATTAATGGTTGGAGTTAGAATTTGAATGTTAATTGTGTTGTTCTAAATCATCTGAGCTATTTGCAATTATGTCAAGTTAATGGTTAACTCATCGAGTCTCGTTTTATTTTGAATGATGTTATGGATTATGCTCTATTGATGGAACAATGTTTATGTGCCTACCAAGTTGTTGCCTTTATCCATGATTAATTTTTTAGTGCTTTATTATCTAATTGATACGACTTTTGGAGAATACGACTGACATTAATTGCTTTGTTCTTGTGATTCAGGTTGAGCCTCGTAACCACAATTAAGGTATTGTAATCTGTGCTGATTTATTTTCTTATTTCAATATGCGAGGAAAGTGATTAAAACTGCAATGTTTAGAATTCCACTCGTAAAAAATATCTAAGTTTGTTTTTTGTGTTGATGTTCTGTTTGAAGGATCGTGCAAATGAAATATACAAAAGGTTGGAAGATCAGAAGTGTACAAGGGGAAGAAACTTGGAGGCTTTAGTGGCTGCATGTATTTACATTGCATGTCGGCAGGAAGGCAAACCGCGTACGGTAAAAGGTGTGCCACCTTAATTACTTTGCTAAAATTGGTAACTAATCATTAATTACTATTAAACCGTTGTTACGAAGTTCGTTCTCTGAACACGTGTCTGTGGGTCTCAACTAGAAATATGCTCTATCGTTGCCGGAGCAACAAAGAAAGAAATTGGCCGAGCAAAAGAATTTATCGTGAAACAACTGAAGGTCGAGATGGGCGAGTCGATGGAGATGGGTACCATTCATGCCGGGGATTATCTGGTACGACTCTCTTGGAAAATAACAAGATTATTACAAAACTGATTGGTTCAATTTATTTAATTTCGACTTTCAACTCTATCCTGTTTATTTATTATGAGCCTTCGTTTTCATTGGTTTTCAGAGGCGTTTCTGTTCTAATCTTGGCATGAGCCATGAAGAAGTCAAAGCTGTCCAAGAAACTGTTCAGAAGGCTGGGAACTTCGATATTAGGTAAGCTAATATTCCCTGCCCGATTCTATGATTGCATTTTGTAGTTCTATTTCGGAAATCACGTCGTTACGCGTGATGTAATCTTTCTTCTATTGCAGGAGGAGCCCTATATCTATTGCTGCAGCTATTATCTTTATGATAACTCAGCTCTCAGAGACGAAGAAGCCCCTTCGAGGTACGAGAGCCGACTTCTTATTAATTAAAATTTACCGAATGTTTTAAGCGTTCGTTTTTGGCAACTATTATCCCACATTAAAAATTTATGCACGTGTAAATTTAAAAAAAAAATCTCAGACTCGATTGCTTGATTGACATATGAAATGGTACACGTGTGCAGATATCTCGAGTGCGACAACAGTGGCAGAAGGGACTATAAAGAATGCATATAGGGATCTTTATCCACATGCTGTTAAGATCATACCAGAATGGTTCGCAAAGGAAAGAGACCTCAAGAATCTTTCCAGCCCTAAAGCCTAAAAACGCACGTTCGTTTTCATGTCGGGAATTTGGGATTGGTGTTTGGGTCCTGCAAACTGTTGGACAGATATACGAAGCAACAAAACTTCGCTTCAAATTATTATTTTCCGCTTGTCGAAGGCCATAAGTTCGTAACTTTGGTGTTTTGCTTTGGAAGATCTATACTAATTTATAGAATTTTATAGTTGAACGAACGAGGGGTTCAAGGCAAGCCCCCAATCTGTTTCTTGATTTTTGGCCAGTTGTCGGTTTTGTTATTGTGCTTCTTTTTTCGAAATGTCATCGTAGACTTGCCTAAAATAGCCTTACGGCGTGATTACTCTTTGACTTTTCGTTTATGTAGAATGTTGAATACAGAACTTTGTACCTTGTACTTTTTACTATAAATCGTAACTTAAAACGCACTTTTTGTCTCTCAAATCTTCTCTGCGTGTGTGCGTTTTTGTGTGCATGTGTTTCGGTGCGGTGCTCGGTTTTCTGTTTCGATGGTGTGTCGATCAAGTTTTCTCGTCTACTGAGTTATCATTTGAGGGATCACTTTGACATCTATGAAGTTGCTTCTCTTGTTCAATTAGTTTTAATTAATGGAATTTATTTTATAAAAGAAAGAAGAAAAATTCCAAACATAATAATAATAATAATAATAATAATAATAATACAAAATGAAAATCAAATTATCTAGTAATATGTGCAATAAAAGACTTCATTTCATTGCTTCCACTTCCACCTTCCATGAAAGAATTCCTCACAGCAGCTCCCAATTCTTCAGCCCTTTTCCTAATTTCTTCACTTTCCATCAATACCCTCACAGCATTCTCCACCATTACCGACGAAACCACTTTATCCCGAAAACACCCCCAATCCCTAACTTCCACACCAACCCTCAGCACTTTCGTCACTAAAAACCCGTTCCTCGGCTGATCCGAATGCATCGGCCACGTCACCATTGGTACACCCATGCTTATACTCTCCATGCAAGAATTCCACCCGCAGTGGCTCATAAATCCACCCGTCGAAGAATGGCCGAGAATTTCCAGCTGTGGGGCCCACTCCCTCACAACAATTCCTCTTTTCGACACTCTCTCCTCGAACCCTCTTGGCAATTCGGCTTTTCTTGATTCTCCTTCGAAGATATCTCCCTTGTCTGCTTCTCTCACTACCCATATGAACTTTTGACTGCTTCTTTCGAGCCCGATCGCAAGTTCTTGAATTTGCTCGTCTGATAAACTTGTCGTAGAACCGAACGAAACGAATATCACCGAATTCGGTTCTTGTTTATCGAGCCAATCCAAACACTCGTGTCTGTTTCTTGAATCTAGTACTTTTTCCTGATCGGTTGTTGTGATTACAGTTGGGTTGAACGGGCCTATAGCCCATACCTTCTCCCCCTTTTCTTGCTCGAGTAGATTAAGGTACGTGCCTTCTATTAATCTGCTGGAATTGTAAATGTTTCCCGCGATTTTTTTCCTGGAGCTACGCTGCAAAGTGGAGAAATCTGAAAATTCTGGAGTGAAAAAATCGTCCCGGCCGGGTATTTCTTTGAGAAATTTTGCTGCTCCGGCCGGTAAATCGGGTTTTCCGGCGGTTTCCCAGAGGAATGAATAGTAAGTGAAAGCTGAAATGCTGACGAAGCAGTACAATTCGGTGTTTGGTATGGAATCCATGTCCTGCACTACGTAAGACATTAGTGAATCGAATATGATGATTGTTCGACTGTACTCGATCGAGATTCCGGCGACGAATGCGTGGAGTGGGTGGCGGAGATTAGTGGAGGCGGAGAGAGAAGGGAGAATTTGTGAAGGAAATTTGGTGGAGGAATTAGGGTTTGGTGCGGGGTTTTGAAATGAGGGAGTCAGGAACTCGTGGAAGCGCAGGTTAGCGGCGGATGAAGGGTTCCAGCCGTGGACTCTGAGCTTGGCCTGGCGGATGTGGGTGGCGGAGCCGACGTAGTAGACGGGGATGTTGGCGGCGGCAGAGACGAGGCGGGAGAGGTGGAGGAGTTGGTTCAGGTGGCCCTGCGCCGGCAGTGGCACCATCACCACCGCAACTTGTGGATGTTGTTTGTGGTTTGCCACTGGAGAGTCTGTAATAAGAGTTACTCTGACATCATTTATATATATATATATATATATATATATATATATATATATATATATATATATATATATATATATATATATATAGAGAGAGAGAGAGAGAGAGAGAGTTTGCATGGCTTTTTATTATTTTATAAATATATTAGCTATTGAATTAAATGGCCAAATTGATATTTTCTTTGAATAAAAAATGTCACAATGTTGACCATTTCATTGAATTATTCAAATGTTTGCATTCGTCATGCAATTTGTTGCTACGAGGAGGTTTCCTATTAGAGGACGATTTTGATAGCAATTTCTAACGTGGGACAAACACAATTGACAAGTCAAAGAATATAAAAGTATTCAATTAAATACTAGTGAGTCATTGAGATCATTGCTAGAATCTTAATATTTTAGGGTAAATTACGACAAACTCTGAGTTATGGCTCAAATATCTTATTGCGTGCATATGACAGCGATAATTACGAATACCTCTCAACTATTATTATATCTAAATACATACTCTCTTACAACGCTATGACTAACGGAATTTTCGGGAATTCATGGAATATTCATTTTCGAATTCCATATATACCCATATACCCCCCCCCCCCCCCCCCCCACACCCCCTACACGTGTTCCAATAGGTAACTGTGTTTGTGATCTCGGAGTTTATACTCATTATGTGATCGGAGCAACAATAAAATAGTCTCCCCGTATCTATTATAATCTAGGGTAAATTACAACTACCCCTAAGGTATGATCAAATTACAAAATCCTCCCTTCTTATTTGGGTAATTACAACCACCCCTCAAATATAAATCTTCTTACACGTTCACTCTTACGGTTTCAAATTTAGTGAAATCTTTGAGACTATATAGAATATTATCTCTTTTGTACCCGTTTTATCCCATTAGAACTCCACATTTTGAATCAAGATAATCATAATATGTATTTTTTGACTTGTATATATCAGATTGTGGTGCATCATAAACTGTATACACAATACAAGTACAAACTAGAACACATTCCACGAAATCTAGATAATTATGTTGAATTTGACATCATAGCGGTGGAGGTGTAAGAAAAAATCATAGTTGATGGGTAGATGTAATTATCCAAACTAATTTGACCATATTTTTGGTTGTAATTTACCCTCTAATCTATAATCATGCCCTAAACAATACTATATAAAAAATTATATGCCAATTGGTAGTTGGGCTTTAAGCAGAAGCAAGACTTCAAAATCGATTTGTTCAACAATTTTCAGCAAAAGCCCATTTCCACGAAGAAGAAGAAGAGAGAGAGAGAGAGAGAGAGAGAGAGAGAGAGAGAGAGAGAGAGTAGATAGATAAGAAATATATGCTTACATTCCAATTTAAGATTTTCCTTGCGACCCACTCTTTGGTTCACTATAAATAAGCACATAGAAGAATTTAATGAAAGCTAACAATAACAATTTGGCAAATCCAAGAAAATTATTACCACCATGGAAGCTAAACAAAATCAAGAAGTAGTAGTAATAATGGTACCTTTTCCACTTCAAAGCCACCTCAATCAGCTTCTCCAACTCTCCTCCCAAATATCCTCCTACAACATCCCTGTCCACTACCTCTCCTCCGACATCCACCGCCGCCAAGCCACATCACGCGCTGCCGCCACCGCCTACACCCGAATCCACTTCCACAACATCCCACTCCCGCCTTTCGTCTGTCCGCCACCAAATCCCAACTCGCCCAACAAATTCCCCGTACACCTCCAGCCGGCGCTTCTAGCCTCGCTCGAGCTACGTGAACCCGTGGCCGCCTACCTCCGCCGCATGGCCGGAGAATTCAAGAGAGTTGTGGTGGTCCACGACACCATGATGGCTTATGTTGTCGAGGATGTTTCTTCGATTCCGAACGCGGAATCGTACTCGTACAACGCAATCTCCGCGTTGGCTATGGCGTGTTTCATCAGACCTCTCCCCGAACAGCTTTCGTCCATGGGGTTACCCGTTTTGGAAGACGAATTGCCGGAGGAGATCAGTTACATCACTTGTCTACAGTTCAAGCATTTGAGCTGCAGAGATGGAGATTTGTACAATACTTCCAGATTGATTGAAGCCCCTTATTTGGACATACTCGAAAATGTACAAGAAGCTAAAATTAGAAAGAGTTGGGCAATTGGCCCAATTCTCCCTCCTCAAATTTCATCTTCAGAAACTCACCAATTTCACAAGTGCTTAGAATGGCTAGACAAACAGGAGGGTAAATCCGTCATTTACGTAGCGTTCGGCAGCACGACCACTCTATCCGACGAAGAGGTAACGGAGCTAGCTTTCGGATTGGAGCGAAGCAGGGTGAAATTCCTTTGGGTGCTGAGGGACGCCGATAGAGGCGACGTGTTCGACGGAGATGTACGGCGGGCGGATCTGCCGGAGGGGTTCGAAGAGAGGGTTGAAGGAGTGGGGATGGTGGTTAGGGATTGGGCGCCGCAGCTGCAAATACTGGCGCATCGGTCGGTCGGTGGTTTCATGAGCCACTGCGGCTGGAATTCGTGCGTGGAGAGCATTTCTATGGGAGTTCCCATGGCGGCGTGGGCAATGCACTCGGAGCAGCCGGTGAATTCTGTACTCGTGACGGAGGTGCTGAAATTAGGGATTGCTGTTAGGGAATGGAAAAATAAGATGGAATTGGTGAAGGCTTCGGTTATTGAAGATGTTGTGAGGAGGTTAATGGCGTCTGAAGAGGGGGATGAAATGCGGAGGAGGGCGGCGGAGGTGGGGGCTGAGCTCCGGCGGACGACTGAGGCCGGCGGCGCTTCTCGATTGGAGTTGGATTCGTTTGTCGCACATATCACGAGATAGAATGTTGGTTGGGCCCACAAATAGGCTGAGGCTGTGGCCCACTTAGCTGCCATAATCGGGTCGGGTCTACCTCAGTCCATAAGAGTTCCGTTTTCTTTTCTTTTTTTTGTGATTTTTTTCCAAAATCTTGCGAATAAAAAAAACATTTTAAATTAAATTTATAATATTAGTATTATGTGTGTGTGTTTGTTTGTAATATATCAAAAAAAAAATTAAAATTAAATTGATAGTATTAGTATTATGTATTTTATAATTTAGGTGAATAAAGAAACATAATTTTTAATTTCACAAATTTCAATCTGGAAATTCAGTTTTAGAAAGAAAAAAAAAATAATCATTCAGATTTTTAATTTGTTTTAAGATTTTTGAAATTGAATTGAAACTAATTATTCACATAAATAAATTTGAAAAATAAATAAATAAATAACTTGATTAGCCGGTGTTTTCAGCCTCGCCGGAAATGCGGGGCCCACCGCAAATGCGGAAATACGTTGTGTTCAGGACGTATCTAAAATCCCTAAAGTGGAATCTTACGCGTACAGCGCAGTCTCCGCTTTGGCTATGGCATCTTTCATCAGACCTGTCCATGCACATGCATAGCTTTCATCAATGGAGCAGCCGGATATCGAACAAGGATTGCCAGAAGAAATCGGTTATCTCGTGGCTTTACAGTTCAAGCCATTCGAGAGCAGAGATGAAGATTTATACGCCTCCAGATTGATCGAAAGCACCTTCTTTAGACACAAATGATAGAAATACGAAGAGTTGGTCAATATGGCCAACTCTCCCTTTTTCAGAAACTCACCTGTTCCACAAATGCTTAAAATGGCTCGACAAACATGAGGGTAATTCCGTCATTCACTATTAATACTCGCACCTGCAAATATTGGCTCATCGGTCGGTGGTTTCTTACATAAAATTAAAAAAAAAAAAAAAAAAAAAAAATTAAAGAATTTTATTTTACCTAGATAAATGAGTTGTTCAAGAATTTACTCTAATCATATTAGAGACAGAAATTGCAGTCTAATTTCTTACCTTCACAAACATGAGATAATAGGGAAGAAGAGAATTTCAACAGAAACAAGATGAATAATATAATTAACAACAAGAGAAGACGTACCGAAATTTTCCAGCACTACTGACTAGCTTGGAAATGCACACAGCTTTTGTCTACTTCTACATTTGTGCCCATATCCACACCTTCTTGATCAGACACATCTTTGTCTCTGTCTCCATTCAATTATGGTAATGATTGAACCATCTACCAAATATCACATGGTCTCTATCTTTCGTCGGTTCACGTACATCAAACCTCAATTTCGAAAATGTTCCAACCAAACACGAATATTTCAAAATGTGGAAGGCACGTAAACAAGAGTTTCCAGCATTTCAAAAATTTCGCACGTCCAACGGCTCACGAGATGCCACCACTTATATAGACAACTCCCACAGAACTCAAATATATATACCCGTCTTACTCAAGATTGTTGTACAGACAGAAACTCCTCGAAAAAATATTAATTGAATGTACTGCAGCTAAAGCAATCAAAAAGTCCATACCGATACTACCACCATGGAAAAGCCTCGAGTTGCAGTTATCATGGTTCCATTTCCAGCTCAAGGGCACCTCAATCAGCTGATGCAGCTCTCTTGCCTGATATCTTCATACGGTATCCCCGTTCACTACGTTGGCTCAGCCATTCACAACCGTCAAGCCAAAGTTCGTGTCAATGGGTTGAACCATGAGGATGTGGAGAAAATACATTTCCACGATATCCCAACTCCATCTTTCGCCTCTCCTCCACCAGACCCCAACTCGCCCGACAAATTCCCCACGCAGCTCCAGCCGATGTGGGATGCTTCATTAAGCCTACGCGAGCCCGTCGCTTCCTATTTGCGAGACATGGCGAACAAATTCGAAAGAGTTGTTGTCGTTCATGATTCCTTGATGGCTGTAGTGGTTCAGGATGTTTCTTCAATCCTTAACGCAGAATCCTATGTATTCAACTGTGTTTCTGCGTTTTCTAAGGCCGTTTTCACCTGGGACCTCCTAGGCAAACCGTTGCCGATAGAACATCCGAAAGAGTTGCCCTCTCTTGAAGGATGCATAACAGATGAGATCCGGGATTTTTGGGCTTTACAGTTTGAGCCATTGAGTTACAGAGCTGGGGATCTCTACAACACCTGCAGATTGATAGAACCAGCTTTTATGGAACTGTTGGAAAGAGAAGAGATTGCTGGGAGTAGAAAGAGTTGGGCAATAGGCCCAATACTACCTGCCAAGTTATCATCTTCAGCAAGCCAATCGGAGAGCCGTTACAGATGCTTAGAATGGCTCGATAAACAAGAGCCAAATTCCGTCATCTATGTAAGCTTCGGTACCACAACTTCTCTGTCAGATGAACAAATAAAAGAGCTAGCATTTGGATTAGAGCAAAGCAAAGTGAAGTTCCTATGGGTATTGAGAGATGCTGATAAAGGAGATATCTTCGATGAACAAGTCAGAAGAGCTGAACTGCCCGAAGGGTTTGAAGAGAAGGTCAAAGGAGTTGGGATGGTGGTGAGGGAGTGGGCCCCACAGCCACAGATACTGGCCCATCCATCAACCGGTGGGTTCGTGAGCCACTGTGGCTGGAATTCATGCATAGAAAGCATTACAATGGGAGTGCCTATTGCAGCATGGCCTATGCATTCTGACCAACCAAGTAACTCTGTTCTCATTACAGAAATACTGAAGATGGGCCTTTTTGTGAGGGAATGGAAACAGAGGACGGAGCTCGTAAAAGCATCAACTATCGAGAATGTTTTGAAAATATTAATGGCATCAAAAGAAGGGGATGAGATACGAAAGAGGGCAGAGGAGTTAGCGGCTACTGTTCAACAGGCAACCCAACAAGGTGGAGCTTCTAAACTCGAGCTGGATTCGTTTATTTCCCATATCACCAGAGGGAATGATATCTAGGCAAAACAAAGTAATTCCAGTTCTACTTGATACGTTATCCTATCCTATATGCTTGTATTTCTTTAATCTATCCGATCCTACCTTTAAGTGTGTGAATGTTTTATGTTTTTTAATTTTTTTTTTTTATACCTCTATTAGTTAGTAAAATATAAATTAATTATGGTTAATTGGCTACAACGTGATTGATGTTGCAATTAATGCAATTCAATTAATCCAATTCATCTTCCTATCATCATTTTTATTCCTCTTTGTCAGTACTAAGGGTTTAGAATAATTAGTTTTGTTTAGGGAAAATGCAGGATTGCAATTGAGTCGAAAAGGTAAATCCCAAGTATAAATACAGGGCTCATTGATCCAAAGGTAATCAGATACTCCCTCTGTTCCAAATTAACTATCGCTTTGGAGATTTTTTCTTGTTCCATATTATCTCACTTTAAAATTTCAATGATTCATTAATTATTGTTTTTTCAACTATGCCCTTATTAGTTATTACTCTTAATTAGTTCAGATATTATTAATTACATGGGTATTTTAGTCATATTATATGTATTTTTCTAAAATCCATGCATATTTATTAGTTTTCTTAATATGTGTGCCACATCCTAAAATGACAATTATTTTGGAACGGAGGGAATATAAATAAAAAAACTAGGTAACCACATACAATATATTTTCCGTCGATAAGATACTCACTTGATCGTCGGAGTGCCAAGTGCTAACCAAGACGATAAGTCCGATTTTCTTTCTTTTGCAGGTCCATCTACCAAACACAACCCTGGAAACAATGAAAATTCACGAACCATCACCTATAACATAGGAAATAAATAGTGTTTTAATTCACTTTTAAACTACACTCCAAGAATGTTAATTACATTTTACATAATTATGATATTTTATTGCATTAAATTTATAATTTGAATTTCAGAAACCATATTTCAAGTTTTCAACAGTTAGTCAACTATATTGTTGCGGTCATATTAAAAAATATTTATAAATAAAAATTAAATTTATAATATTTAATTATTATTTACAAATTCATATGATTTTTTTTAGTTTCAATGATATCATTTCATTCTAAATATAATTGATGTAATATTAACTTTTAATTGTAATTAGTAATTATATAAAGTTACTTTCCAATGTAAATATAGTTATTTATAATAAATAATCAATATAATAAAATTAAATTTGATAGTAAATGATCTTAAAGTACACATTGTAAATGTATTCTTAGCTGTTTAGAATAATTTAACTTTGGTTTCTCATCCAAAGTAATAATTTAAACAATGAGCAAACTATACATTACCTTTACCTTGTTGCAGTTGATTTCTTTGGATTTGGTACACAGCTTTGTCTGTTTCTTCACTTTTGGCCAGAGCCACAACTTCTTGATTTGGAATGTCCTCCAAACCTGTTAATGATTGGAATGTCCTCCAAACCAAACAAGGAATTTCAGTGTGTGGCCACCAGCATTATAAGAATTTCACATGTTCCTCCCCAGAATCCAACGGCTCACACGAAGCCACCACTCCTATAACCATCCCCACCCGCCAACCCCCACCCCGCCAAGAACTCAAATATATGTATGCCTTGGTCAAGATTTTTGTACAAACAGAAACTCCTCGGGAAAGCATTCATTGAATGGGCAGCTTAAGCAATCAAAAAGACCATACCAATACTACCACCATGGAACAATCTCGAGTTGCAGTCATCATGGTTCCGTTTCCAGCTCAAGGGCACCTCAATCAGCTGATGCAGCTCTCATGCCTTATATCCTCATACAGTATCCCCGTTTACTACGTTGGCTCAGCCATTCACAACCGCCAAGCCAAAGTTCGTATCAACGGCTTGAGCAACGATGATGTGGAGAAAATACAGTTCCATGATATCCCAACTCCATCTTTCGCCTCTCCTCCTCCAGACCCCAACTCACCAAACAAATTCCCTGCACAGCTCCAGCCGATGTGGGATGCTTCATTGAGCCTACGCGAGCCTGTTGCTGCATATCTTCAAAACATGGCAAAAAAGTTTCAAAGAGTGATTATTGTTCATGATTCCTTGATGGCTGTAGTTGTCCAGGATGTTTCTTGGATCCCTAATGCAGAATCCTATGTATTCAACTGCGTATCTGCGTTTTCCATCGCCGGTTTCACATGGGACCACTTAGGCAAACCGTTGCCGACAGAATTCCCGAAAGAGTTGCCCTCTCTTGAAGGCTGTGTAACAGATGAGATCCAGTATTTTTGGGCTTTACAGTCTGAGCCATTGAGTTACAGAGCTGGGGATCTCTACAACACCTGCAGATTGATAGAACCAGCTTTTATGGAACTGTTGGAAAGAGAAGAGATTGCTGGGAGTAGAAAGAGTTGGGCAATAGGCCCAATACTCCCTGCCAAGTTATCTTCAGCTAACCAATCAGAGAGCCGAAACAGATGCTTAGAATGGCTCGATAAACAAGAGCCAAATTCCGTCATCTATGTAAGTTTCGGTACCACAACTTCCCTGTCAGATGAGCAAATAAAAGAGCTAGCATTCGGATTAGAGCAAAGCAAAGTGAAGTTTCTTTGGGTATTGAGAGACGCTGATAAAGGAGATATCTTCGATGGACAAGTCAGAAGAGCTGAACTGCCCGACGGGTTTGAAGAGAGGGTGGAAGGATTGGGGATGGTGGTGAGAGAATGGGCCCCACAGCCACAGATATTGGCCCATCCATCGACCGGTGGGTTCGTGAGCCACTGTGGCTGGAATTCATGCATAGAAAGCATTACAATGGGAGTGCCTATTGCAGCATGGCCTATGCATTCTGACCAACCAAGTAACAGTGTCCTCATAACAGAAATACTAAAAATGGGCCTCATTGTGAGGGAATGGGCACAGAGGTTCGAAATCGTGAAAGCATCAACTATTGAGAATGTTTTGAAAACGTTAATGACATCAAAAGAAGGGGATGAGATACGAAAGAAGGCAGAGGAGTTGGCGGCTACAGTTCAACACGCAACTCAACAAGGCGGAGCTTCTAGACTCGAGCTAGATTCGTTTATTGCCCATATCACAAGAGAGAACGATATGTTGGCAAAACCAAGTAATCCCCCTGGTTCTTCTTGATGTGTTATTTATGCATCTACCTTCTTTCCTTGGAGGTTGTATTAGTTTAATCTATCCTATCATACTTGGTTGTATTTCTTCAGTCTATCCGATCCTACGTTTACAAGTATGAATGTTTAATGTTTTTCAAATACTATATTCTTCATTTTTCTATCATCATATTAATACCAATCCTCTCAGTATATTTTAACACTCTTTATCTTCTCATGTTTATTCTTACCTACTAAAAATGTGGAAGTACACTTAGGCATAAGAAAATAGGCACAACCAAACAACTCTAGACTACCTAGTCAGTAGTCACAACACAAGAAGAAACTCAGGTATGTTCGACATAAAAAAGCAGATTAATATATCCAGAATAATGGTTTCCATTCAAATCAAAGTCGTACGGAAGCTGGTAAGCGTACTTACAAGTATTGTTGTATTCACCAACTGAGGCAAACATACATAATATCATTTCAAGCAAAAAGGTCACGGAAGAACCGGAAGCTCCATTTTGGTGAATGACAAGAAGCTGACACGCCCATGCTCGACAGTACAGAATTTTATAGGACGTCCACTGCAATGTGTCTCAATCTCCTTAATCTCTTTCTCCGACGGTGGGTAGCCACTACATAAAACACAATGCTCACATTAGGTGGAATGCGCTAGACCAGAAATGACACCAATCACTGCAATTTTGGGTACATATGCTCATTTTTCTTCACATGGGTACTCGACTATTTTATATGTATTTGTCTCTCGTATGCTTTTTGAAGAAATATAGAAAGAACTTGAAGAGTTAAAACAACATTCCTTTTATCAGTATTCATTCTGCCCTAAACAAAATATAACGAGCATCTCAATTCAGATTTAGTACTAGGCCATTCTCGTTTACAGTTCATCGTATATGTTTACACTACGCTAATATTAATTCATCAAAGACATATTGTTGAAATTAGTTACCTGGTACGGCAGAGAACAAAGGCCAAATTTCCTGGAGAAGACTTTTTAAACTTGCTATTAGGAGGATAAACATCAAACATTGGTCTGGTTTCACCAAGATGCATGTTACCAAACATCTCTGTGATGAAGCTGTTGTCTAACGATCCCCTATCTCTAATACCACGAAACTCTGTCATTCCATCTTGAGCGTCGATCTTGATTTTACCATTCTTCATAGACCAAGGGACGCCATGGCGGCCAACAATGTAACCAAGAAACTTCAAGTGCCGATAAACTTCAAAAGAATCCCAAGAGCATCCATGTCTATTCTTGTCTTCTGCTAACTTTGCATACATGTCGCTTAGGGGAAGAGGTGTATCGTCACTGTTAACGATATCCAATGCCCCAATTTCAGCCAAATACCTACAACACAAGAAGCATGCATGACGAAAATCAATCAAAATGAACTGCTAGTCTCATGCGAAAAAATGTCATTGCCAATAAAGAAAAGAATATCATTGGAATGAGATATGAAAATTTGTGAAATTACAATAGTAAATAAAAGTAAGAAGCCATGAATTTCAAGCTATGGCGATGAACTATTAAAAAGTATTGATTCATCTTCAAGTCCAGACTAGAACAAGCCGAGACAATTATGCTTCTTTCTAAGAAAATCAGCCTACTTTAGATAGGTGAAAATTATAAACTACCCAAAGAATTATCAGATTTCTTAAGAGAACCTAAGGTATTATTGCAAAAATATAACGAAATAGCTTGGGTCACATACAAAGTTTCTTCGAGTGAGCAATATGTCTTTCCATCACGAACCATCCCAGTCGTGGTCCACATTTTACCCTTTTTCTCCAGCACTTCAGCCATGTTCAGCTCTTCGATCCACTGTGCCTTCGATGCCTCTTTCCTACGAGTACAACATTTTTATATCAGCCGATTAAATTACTGAAAACAAATTATCTACACAAAGAAATACAATGTACCTAAATTGCAACTTGGGGATGTCACCAGAGACATAGCATATTTCATCATCAACTGAGTCATCGACAAAACCCTCAGAAGAATCACTATCACAGTCATACGCTCCTTCATGAAAATTCAACGTCTCCAAGGCATCATCAGCTTCCACTATTTCAGTTTCCATAGAATTTCAATCCCCCTACAAATTAATTGAGATGTAAATTTCTATATAAACAAATTAAACTAAATATTGCACAAAAGGGATAGACAGAGGGGGACCTGTTGGTGAGTGGGATTTGAAGGGAAATCAGATTTCGGAGGAAGCTTTTCGATTTACTGTGTTGACGTCGGCGGAAGGGATGGCGGCGTTGATGGAAGATGAGGAGTGGCGACGGGTTTGGGTGGTGGATGTCGGTGTTGACGGCGTTGCTAATGGCGGCAGACCGGCGGAGGAAGTTAGTGGCGACGGGTTTTGAGTGGTTCTTCTCCATCTTTTCCTATTTTACTTATTGATTTTTTTCCGAACAAGTAATTTTAAGGATGGAAACAGTAATTTTTTTATTTTTTTAATTTTTTTAATTGTAGGGACCAAATATAAAAGGGTAGTGATATACGCAGGCCAAATTAAACATTCAGGCACTTTTTTACCATGATTTTTTACCTTTTTACCATAACTATTTACTTTTTGTACTATTCCTACCCAATTAAAAATAAAAATAAAAATATTTTTTTGTGCTCGTGCAAAAACACACGAGCATTTCAACAGTGCTCATCTGATTTCACACGAGCACTGTTGAAATGCTCGCATGTTTTTGCACGAGCATCTTATAAATCAAA